TTCGAAAAGCAACGCCGACTGAGAATGAATTAAAAGACGTGATGAAACTAATAACAGATTTTCTCATTGAAAAGCCCGATTACGACAGTAATACAATTCTTTCATTTCATCGAGGACTTTGGTATAAACAAAAGTGTCCTGATTTTCATGCACATCTCTGCGTTCCAAGAAAATCCTATTGTCGAGAAGTACAACGCATGGTAGGAACATTTTTTAAAAAAATATTGTTTGATTTTTCAGTTTTGTTTCGCGTTCGATTAGATATCGTCCAATCAATGGCTATCGTCAAAAGATTATCTGAATCGATTGGAGCAAAATTTAATCTGTTCGAAAGTAAAATACAGTGAATATCAAACGAAGTGTTTAGTAATGGCCTATCGATGTTTCAATGATCCAGTTTCACGTTATCTTCCACTTAGTCAATTCAATACATCAAAATTTACTCTAGTATTTCTTGCTTCTTCGCCTCGAATCGGCGTGATAGCGAAGAAGGAAACGACTGAATTAAAAGTTTTATATAATTTTATGGAGAATTTCTATTTTTCTGCTCGCAAAAAGTTAAGTGCAATTAACCCTTTATATGAAAATTTCGGTGCTCATCTATGTCTACATGTTGGTGGCAAGAAGAAGAAGAATGTGCATGTTGTCGAACGCACCGATCGTGTTTTATTTAATACAATTGAACGCATTAAAACTGAACGAATTGTTGGTTATGTACAAATGGAAGAGCAACTCTATCTACGTTGGTTGCCCGAAATTTTTCACCGGACTTGGCTTCATGAATTTCGAAACAATCAACATTTCGTTCGCACTTAAAAGTGGTGTTTTTTTATTCATTTTGATTTTGTTATCTAATGCCATCTATCGATGGAAATCTCATTATTTATTGTAAATAAATGAACAATTATGAACAATTTTCGAAAAATTTACTATTTGATTTCTTTTGTATATCGATACGGTTGAAAAAAGGCGTAAGACTTGATTGATTTGTTTATGGCAAGACGTGGCTAGATCTGGATTTTAACATCGTGTGGATTCATTCTTTTACCAAACATCGACGATTCGATTGCTTCAAGTCATTCATTTCTTACTCTTTTGTTAGATCGAATTTTAGTAGAAAAACCATGTCTAACCAACGATCAACATCTCGCGATGAAGATTTACTTCTTCAAGACTTTAGCCGTAATGTAACAACTAAATCACGGGCTTTATTCAGTGGTAATGCTGCCGTTGTATCTGCCATACCGCTTTGTAAGTTAATGATTTTGTCGAGAATGTTCAATCGAAGCTGAAGTTTCGATGTTATAGGGCTTTTCTGGCGCATTCATCAAATGGATTTTTCCTCCTATTTCATTCATTTCATCCTTGGTACCATTGTCAGCACGTATTTTCTCAATTTAGCTTATCAGAATATGAAATTCATTCTGAAACACAAGTTAGTGTCGATGTTTTGTCTGATTGTGCATAACGCATAAATGTTTTCAGGATTGCACAAAAACGTGAAGAAGCTGTGAACCGTGAAATATCGAAAATCTTCGCCAGTGACAAAAGTGCCAACAAGAAAGACAAAGATGATCGGTACGATATTTTTCATCGTTAACTATGAACGAAGTTCATCATATTCTGTCTAATAGAGTTTTAACACGCAAAAATGAAGTCGCTGACTTTGAAGCAACAACATTTTCCATCTTCTACAACAATGCCTTCTATCTCGTTTGCTTGCTTGTCTTGTCATTCTTTGTCTTGAAGAACTTCTCACCCACAGTCAATTATTTGTTCTCGGTTGCACTCTCAACAGCCATGGTTTTTCTCTTTTCAACTGGACAAAAATAGAATGAAAGACACAAAACACTCGATTGAATGCTTTGTTTAGGTTTTTAGACATACGTTTTGTTTTCTTTGTTATTGACTATTCTCACCCCAGTGCTTTCTGTTATTGTTCGAATAAGATGTGTTCTTTTTATTGTTTTTAACTTCTGTGATTATTAGTTAAACTTCGGTGATGAAAATAGAAACACAACAACATCAATTAACTAAACAACGGAATTCTATTCGAGAACATATGATTTATACATGGAAATTCAATCTGACATCATGAGTTCCATGTTAAACACTTGTCATTGAAATCGATTCGATTTGAATTTCACCTTGAATGATTGACATTGATCTTTGTGTCACTATTCTATTAGTTCTATTGATGGTCATCATCATTCGATTTGATAATTATCTTGAATTATTGACTTCCATTTAATATTTGTTTTGTACTGAAGCATATTTAATAGTGTCAAAAAAAGAAAGATCAACCTCAGTGCAATTCTTCATCGCTCATCGATGACAATGTTACCTATCGTCATATTCATATTCATCTCGTCCATTGATGGTAAAAATCAACTCAGTTCATCGATAAGTTTGTCCAATTTCGGATTTTCTTCTAGTCAGTTATGGAGCATCTTCATGCTACTCATGTAACCCATGTGGAACAACATGGAATCCTGCTGCAGCTCAAGTTATTCAAACATCAACAATCAATGATTATTGTCGCGTAAGTCGATCATGTCTGACGGAAAAGAGGCGTCGATGTTTTCGCCTTGTCGTTCATAGAAAACAGTAACCGGCACTCTTGTTGTGAAGGATTCGGTATCAACATGTAATCCAGTTAATGTTCTCAATAATGGCGTGTATTGTTGTCGAACCGACCTATGTAACACCGGCACTAGATGTTCATTGAAAATGTCGAGTATTCTTTACTTATTATTTTATTCTCTATGGAAAATTTATTCGTATTATTATTATATATGATAGATTTGATTGAAAACATGAAAAGACAGGACAAAACAATAATGAAAATAATCTTTTTTTTTCTTCTTCTTCTTTCTATTCTAATTTCGTAGATGTTTATTTGTATCATGATTTTTTAATCCATGATGAAGAGTAAGTAAATAAGTAAAGACACACTTTTTATCCAAATGACCATGAATGAGATCATCACTATCGAGCAACGGGTGAATTTGTGCTTTTTCTCTACATTAGAAAATAAATCAGATTCGATCAACGTGGATCGCTCGACTTACTCAGCGACGCGGAAAGCTAAGTCGAAATTTGTTTGTTTGTCGTCACGATTTAACGTATTAAAATCGAATTCATTCGGAAAATAATGGTGAACGATGGCGCAGAATGCCAATCCATCAGCGAAATCTGTTGTAAAATTACGTATCTTCACTGACTAGAAGCAAGATGAAGACATCAAAGTGAGCGACATAGGTCATAACTTTCTAATGGCTTACTTCATAATTCCTAGTGACATTTTGACACCATTTCAAAAGCCGTTCTTGTGCTTCTTTATACGATGGACGTAAAGAGGATGATGTCATCTAGAATAATACGGTGTAATTCAATCGTACTGTCCAACATTAAAAGAAAGAATCAAGAGTACTATTGACGAGACAAATGTTGGCTGGTATATATATGTATATATACGTGTGTGTGTATTCGGTTGAACTTAAAGGAGAAAAAGGTAATGACGGTACCGGTGGTCGATTGTAATCGGGAGAGTGAACACAGCGATAGATAGGTGGACGTTAAAGAGAGAAAAGAGAAGGAGAAGAGAAAAAAAGAAAATTTTTCTTCTTTCACTTTCGAACGAGTAGAATTGACAATCTTTGTCTCAATAAGAAAAGAGAATAGGTGACCTTTTTTTTTTCATTCATTCTAAAAAATGATTGTTTAACCATGTGAAATGGCTATAGATTACAATGATCAAATTGTTCTTTGTCATAAAGTAATTGTTTTCTATATGAAATATTTCCCTTTTGTATTATTCGGCATAAATCCGGAGTCGGGTGTCATTCATATCGGTGGAGAAGCAAAACAACATCTCGCTAATAAATGTATGGATGAAAACCATACAAACGAATGTCGAAGGACGCATAGACAATTATTAGTTTTAACAAAAAAAAAGAACGAAGAACGGTGTATTTGAACGATAAACAAAACTTCATTTCTTTTCTCTACAAAGGAGATAGATTTTATGTAAATGTTATTCGAATAATTTATTCGATCGTTAAAAACGAGGCAAGATATTTCAATTCTTCCGCGGGTTTCTGTTTCTCTTTCGTTCACAAAGAAATTTCCGGTCTCGCCGTAGGTGCACTGAATAATAAATAAATCTTCCATCGAGGTAACAAGTTAAATATTCACTCTTTACTCTATGATATTTACAAACGGAAATCGCGTATGAACAATGATGGATCTATAATGTCACCTTTCCTTTCCGTCTTAATCAACAACAATGATTAGACGAATCGAGACACCGAACATATCCTTGGAGGCTAGTCGATGATTTCTTTTATTCGACGGCTGATATGAAAGTGTTCGAGAACTCTCAAAACCGATTTCTAATAACACCGTTCGAACAGTTTTATACTTACTTGCAGTGCGGTAGATTTCAAAGTGATTTACAATCTCTATATTAACATATTATGTGTTACAAGGACATTCATGTTGCGAACTTGTCGCCATTCAATGATGAATGGATGAAAAAGCAACAGCATCTTGAAAAAGAAAAGACTTGACATAAACCATGACAAAATACTCTCGCAGTAAAAGAGAAAGAGGATATTTAAGACGAAGTCTACATTAGACTTTGTAATTCGTTTGATGAAACGCTGTGATCATAATCAATTATTGTAATTATTAGAAACAGTAACTGTCAATGATAATGAATAGTTGTGTATGTCGAAAGTAATGTTATTAACAAAATCATATAAATGTACTGTGACGAAATTTGAACAGCGGCGAACTGATGTCGCTATCATCAGATGATTCTAATACTCAAAATAACGGAAGAGAGGAAAGAAAGTATGGAAACGTCAATCCGTTAAGATTACCATTGGCCAATCGATTACACAATACGAAAGAATAGACTAAGTGGTTGCGTTTGTCTTTGTTTATCACTTTTTCACTTTCAAATTATTATCATCTCAAACGTAAAATCTTACATAATGTCAGCACCAAATACGAAACAGATCAAACTTGATGGTAAGATTATTTGCTTTTCAAGATTAGTCGTCTTACGTCATTATGGTCATCTTCTAGAAGCTGAAATGCAAAAAGCATTCGAAGTTATCGGTGATGTTCAAAACGAAATTGATCGTTTTAATGAACAAGCCAGTGAAGAGATTCTTCAAGTTGAACAGAAATACAATAAACTTCGACAACCGAATTATAAAAAACGTATGTTTAGTCTTTGTAAAAGAAGACAAATTTTTGACTTTTCTTTTTCGAAGGCTCGGATTTAATTAGCAAAATTCCATCATTCTGGATCAGCGTGTTTCTCAATCATCCTCAATTGTCGGGTCATTTGGATCAAAACGATGAAAATATTTTACAATACCTCAAACGTGTTGACGTCGAAGAAGTAAATTTTCTTTTTCAGTTTAGTATCAAGTTTCTTCACTGAATTTTGTTTTAGCATGACGATATCAAATCAGGTTATCGAATCAAATTCGTAAGTTTCTTGAACTTTATCAATTGGTTTCAATGAATCTCTCGCCGTAGACATTTGATCCTAATCAGTATTTTGAGAACGATGCCATTGTCAAAGAAATCAGCGTCAGTGAATCAAGTGAAACAACGTGCAAATCAACACCGATCCGATGGAAAAATGTTTGTTAAATTCTGTTCTTTTTCAACGATTTTCTTTTAATGTACTTGTAGGAATCGAAAAATGGTCAATCAGCGAGTAACAGCGGCAAGAAGAGTGATGGCGAAACAAGAAAACGTGCTCATGAGGTAGAAAATAACAATGATCATGGAGCATTCATGGCATGGTTTACAGACACTAGTAACGAAGGTAATAACGAAGAATTTGGCGAGATAATCAAAGATGATATCTTTGTGAATCCTTTACAATACTATTTGGTAAGATGGGAAGATTGAAATCGGAGCATGAGGATGTTGTTCGTTTTGAATAGGCTGCAACAGCAAACGATGGAGATGACGAGAGTGGCGGAGAAAATGACGAAGATGATGATCTCGAGGTAAGATTGTGCATGTAGGGTGGATGTTGAAGAAGATGTTTCGATTTTCTTTTAGGAAAAAGACGATGATCAAGAATAGACAATGGATTGTAAATTGACATATTCTGTTTGTTATTATTCTCTTTGAACCGAATCATAACTACTTGTATGACAGATTTTTCGTCCGGTTATATCAGTAAAGCTGGATATGATTTCGTCTTATATGGAGAATAAACAGATGTTTATCCTAAGAAAACTACAAGGGCTCATTACATTGACTTCTTCTTCTTTTTCAAAAACTCGAATGAATCAATATTCACTGAAGAAAGTCCAATACATAAGAACTGTTATGTCAAATTAAGCGGCAGCAGCATTTGGATACATATCCAAGTATCGACATGATGTAATATTATTTTTTATTAGATCTGCTATCGGTATCATGTCTTCCAATGGTTGCATCGTTTTTTGTAATTCGCGGGCAATCTAAATCAATTGCGTGTTGTTTTACGATAGTTCACATTTTCCCAAAAACTACCTGTTCATTCTCTTCCATAACTCGTAAGATGTTGCCACCAGCCAGTTTAATGATATCCTCATCTGTCCAGTTGCCTTGTGAAACCAAATATTCGATCAATTTCGGATAGCCCGATACATCGACCAGATCGTACGGTGTTCTTATAAAGGAAACGATTTTATGGAGAGAAAAAAAACTCATCGTTAACATACTCATCAATTCCATCAAAATCACCTCCCAAACCTATACCATCGACACCAACTAGACTACGAATATAATTGATATGTTCTAAATAGAAATGCTTAGGAATTATCATCTACAAAACAGCGTGTGCTATTACCAGCGACATTGGAAATGTTTCCCAAGTTTTTACTGTCGCATGTAATGAAACCGGGTGTAAATGCCACCATAACTATACCACGATTATTTTTCTAGAAGAACAGGATAATCGCGTGAGAATTCATCCTGTGTTCTTCTTGAAATGTACGTACTACTAGACGAAGTACATCGTCTTGAACATTTCGTGAATGGTTACACAATGCCCACGCCGATGAATGACTGAATATGATTGGTGATCGAGTGACATCCAATACGTCAAGCATAGTTTTTTTCGAAACATGTGCTAGATCAACTAACATTCCCAGACGATTCATTTCTGCAATAATCTTCTTTCCAAATTCAGTTAACCCTTCATTCTTGGGTAAAGTTGAACCAGGTCGATCAACACGATTCTGATCAGCCCTTTCATATTTAAACGAAATCTTTCGATACGAATTCAGATTGAAAGAGAATACCTACCAGGGTGTATTACAATTATGTGTCAATGTCATATATCGTACTCCCAGTTGATAGAAAAGTCTCAGGATGGAAAATGTGCTTTCGATAGCTTGTCCACTTTCCACTCCCAAGAGACTAGCAATACGTTTGGCTTGAAACGCTTCTCGAACTTCAGCAGCTGTTCTGGCCAACTGGAATGCCTCTGGTTCTTTCGCTATGATTCGGTTCACCAAATCGATTTGTTCCATAAAACTCACAGTTGCATCTCTTCCTTGATGCTCACAGGGTGTATAGATGGACCAGAACTAAACATTTCAAAATGGTTAGATGAATTACAAAACAAACTGTACTACATACCTGGCCGCCCACTTGACCTTTTCGCAATCGTGTTATATCCGTGTGTATTGTCGTTATATTACGATATTTAGTCATATCGTTCAAATCCAGACCAGTTATATTATTCCGGAAATATTTACGAATAACCCAAGCCCAATCATTGTGACTAAAATTCATCAAGAGTCGGACTAGCCACGTTCGTCAACGATTCATCTTATGCTTATCATCAATGTGTCTTCATACACCATCCGTCGTTTAAGAATCTCACGAACAAATGAAGTTTTCAAAGATCTTACCCGTCAATTAATGGATTCTGCGCTAGGATATCATTCACTCGCTGCTCGACTGCTACACTATCAGATTTTCTTCGTCCGACAACAACTCCTACGGTAACACCGACGACGACACCAACTACAACAAAAGTCGCAATGCATCCGATGACAATCCATTGCTTTTGTGTAAACACCATTGCTGTCTGCCTCTCCCTTTTTTTTCGTAACAAAAGAATGTTTTTTCGCAGCTCCGAAAAAGTTGTCAATGAAAGATTTATTTCGGGGTAGATAAGAAGATATTTTATCACTTTAATTCTTCTGTCAATAAACACGCATTTAGATTAACATCATAGCGTGTTCGATGTAAAACTTTAACGACTTGATAAGACATGCATAGATTTTTGCGCGTTGCTTTATCGTTTTATTCATAGATCTGTTTACAGTTGTTGCTTTGGTACACACATACACGCGAACATTCTACTAAATAATCAACATCAAAAGAACAAACAGAAAAAGAAAACAGTGAAATATAAGTATAGATATCACGCCATTAGTTTGTTTTTTTTTTATACAGAAATAAGAAGAACAAGTAAGGAATACCTAGCAAGAATCACTCGTTCAATATATTTACACAAAGTTTAACATTGAGCGAGAGAGAAAGAAGAAGAAGAAAAAAAAACAGAAAACACTGTCACCGGGCTTGAGATTGTGGCGAGTTTTTTTTCTAATTGATTTGGTTTTTATATAGCACATAAACAATAAACATATTCTTCTAATCTCCATTCACTTTTCGTCGACATGTTGGACATGAATCATTTTCCTAGAAAAGCAATTCGACATGTGTATGATTTTCTTTCGACGGCGAAATGAACAACTTACACTAAGCCATGTTGATATACATTGAAGATGAAATAAATGTGCGCAATGTAGTTTATTGATAACTTCCTGATCGGTAAATTCCGTTAAGCAAATAGGGCATTTTTCAGCTAAAAGAATCGATGACGAGTCCGATTTATCGAGAAATTGAATTTTCGGCAAAGCATCAATTTCATCTTGAGTTAGACGGGATGGAAAGTTAATATTCAATATTCGAGACAATCGTATCATGCCCTGTTGAAACGAAAGACAATTAGAAGAAGCAGTTTTTTGTTCAGACTCACCTCTGTGCCATCGTATTCTGTACGTGTATTCAATCGACCATATATAAGACTAAAGAAAAGTTGATCGAAATTATTTACAGCACCTTCGAGAGATTGAATAGAATCGATAACAATTTCAATAGCACGATCGATATGAACAGGACTGACGCCATCATTGGAAAAGTTTTGACTGTCCGTTCGCGTGGTGTTCGTTGGATCGGTTGCGGTGCGTGAACTAAAACCAACGAATATGTACTGACGAATGAAAGGATTTTTTGAATCAGTTACCGTGTGTGATGGATAACATTAGATGTTGATCTTGCTGTACGCCGAGGTGGAATAGATTCATTATCACTTCCTAGATTAACAATTGCTGCTGAAGATGATGAAGTTGTTGGTTGATTGTTATCATCATCATCAGAAATATAAACAAGACGATATTGACGTGGTTGCATAGTAGATGACGGTGATGTTGACGATGAAGATGATGGGTGATCATGTTGGGTGATGCTACTTGGAGTAGATATTGCTGTTGATGTTTGACGTCGAGCGCGACGTGGTATTGTAGTCAGATGTGAATTAGAAACTTGAGGTAAATGGATTTGTACTGGTGGACATCGTGGTCGTAAATTGTAACGTTGTGATTGTGCTTCGGGCGTTGTTGAATGATTTCGAAGTGGATAGTTGTTGTGTGGTTCTGTTGAGGATTGATTATTACGTTTACGCTTCCGAGAAGCTGGATTTGTTTGATGAGATGAAACTATGGTTGATGTTGACGGTTCATGATCATCATTGTTGTCTGAAAGATTTCTTGAACGTGTTCGTTTCCGAGATAGTCGTGCTGATGAAGGTGGCATAGTCAGTGCGCGTGCGTGCGTACGTTCGCTTTTCGATATGTAACGGTATCACTGGAAAAAATCAAAAGATTGTGAAGAAAACTGATCCGTAAATACAATATCGACGCTGGTGAATCTAATTGATGATTTGGGTGATTGAATCACTAGTGAGAAATGGTGAAATTAGCTTCTTGTTTATTGTTATTTCTCAGTATTCATAACAGTTTATCTTATAACCAATGAATGCCTGCTGTTTGATAGATGGCAGTAGTGAAAGTACATCGATGATAGATCTACAATAAATCAATCTGTCATGTACGAAACAAGCTATCAATGGAAGAAAAAGCATATGTGATTAGTTCGCGAATATTTATTTTTAATTCTTCAATACAATTATACAGGCTATGGAAGGTTTTTTATGGTCAGTCTTAGAACTAAAATGAAGTTCGATAATTTTCTGGAATAGAATAGTCGATGTGATAGATGTTGGTAATCAAGATTTGCTTTTGTAAAATGTATGATTTCCGATTTTCTTTACGAATACACAATTATGAACCCATGATGGAGTATCTTCTTTGTCCGGATTATGATAGTGGTCAGTTCCATTCGTTGGATCATCACTAGGATTAGCACGGTAAATAGCATCAACTACTTTACACACTTTCCGATACACTTCTGGTTCACCGATATAAATATCATCTACACCATTCCAACATTCAAATTGACGGGGATGTAAACAAACACCTTTTATTGTAGGTCCACCCCAGTAAGATCGATTCTGACTTGCTCGATTCTTAATAACCCAAGCAACCCATTCTTGACCTTCGACAGATTCTCCTCTTGCTTCAGCATAAACAGTTTTTCGAAATACTTCTAATTCTGAAAGTTGGGCCATTTTCTATACAATAAAACGGTGCATATACGATTCACTTTTGCTTTTGATGACTTACTCTGTTCGTTTTATGTGTTTGTAATGAATTGCATATAACTGTGTAATCTCACACTATATATAGACGTCAGTAACGGTTGGAATTTTCCGAGAGTCGGACATATTATTTATTCCGACAGTGATAAAAAATGATTCGTCAATGAATCAGTCTTTGCTCATATCGAAAGAAAAAGCCCAGAATGCGTTATAATATTCCTACATCGAACATAGTGCCATAGTGTTGACTATGGTCTTTTTCCATCGTTTCTCATAATGATAATAAATAATGTTACCCTAATAATTTATTTTGCTCAATCTTTCATCAATTTGTTTAAATAAAAAATGGTGAGTGCGAATGGATGCATTTTAATTTATATCGCCACTATTATTGTCATTCTCAAGTAAATAGAATAGAAGGGAAATTTCTAAAAGATATTGAGAGGATATCTGAATCATATTTGAAAGGACACAAGGCAAAAAATAAAATATGAACTAGATCTCGGAAGGTTACTGTACGAAGACAATTCTTCTTTCGGAGTTCTCGCAATATTACTCGAATCTTTCTACCGACATCTGTCGGAGAAAGATTCAGTACTTACGTGTAAAGCAAAAGTTCGTAGACAAACATGTGCTTTTGTCAATACAAATCAACTTTGATACAATAGAAATCTTATTTTTCGAATGCATAAATATCTATTTTGTTTTATCATTGACTATTTTCAACTGATCATGTCAACCATTGGCAAGCGAGCGCTGCATATCTATTTACTTTTTCTCTGACGTCAACAGTGTGCGTTCACCGGATGATTGATGATAAGAAAACAACTTTCTTTACACTCAGCTGTTTACAGCTGTTAAAGAAGGAGGAAGGTTTCCCTACCATATAATTAAAGATCTGAACTATTATACAATAAACAGATGAAATCTGCATTGTTCGAATAGGTGAAAAAGATGACTGATGCTGTAAAGATCCACAGCATGATCGATCCTATTTGGAAAGATCGAGCTGAACGAGCATTGAAACATATTTGTCGTACGATTGACATGAAACAACGACGTGATGCTATGTAAGTATAATACTCTTGGTCAACCTGCTCTATTCTCTCTGTATTGAAGACCACTTTTTGCAAGTATCGCCGAACGATACAAAGATGTACGACGTCCAACTATTGTTTCTGAACCTAAACCAGCTGACGAATGCTCAACACTCTACACAAGCCGTGCCTATAATGAATTAACGGGTGATAACTTAACTTGTGCACTTTCAATCTTACCTCACATTGATCAAATACCACATATGTTTACCTATGTTCCTTTGCAAAGAAATTTCGTCGTAAGATATTTTCTTTCAGTACAGAACATATCGTTCATTATGTATTTTAGTGTGACACAATGACAAATCTATCTGATTTGATACTAGAAGAAGACGATGAGGATATTAAAAATCTTCTGAGATCAGTTCAATCAGACCAGTTATCATCAATTCCACAATCAAGCAAAGACATGCGATCATCTTCCTCGTCGAAACGAACACGTCGTTCGTCGAAAACAGCACCTATCAACAATAAAGACAATGAATATATTTTCGACGAAGAACATTTGCTGGAGTTATTAAAGCGCCTGAAGCAACAACCAGGACATACCGCAACACCGATGACACCTGATGATGAATTACATCTTCTCGAAACATTACTGCGTATGTAATAAGTCTTGGCAAAAGACAGTCGAGTGCAACATGCCATTTTTTTCTCTGTAGAACTTTATCCTGCTTCTGCGGACCTCATTCGTGATCGATTCGGTACTGTATTCGAATCGAAACGAGCACAACCTAAAGAGTTCACTCCCAATATCGATAATTCCTCGTTAGCATTGGATACAACTGTTGACAATATTCTGCATTCATATTTTATGCTATTCTGTCGTCGCTGCCACCGTTACGATTGTTTTCTACATAGAGATAAACAACCTACGCCTGACTTAACTGTTGAACCAAAGAAATTCCATTCTCTTTACCGTCCATGTGGTCGTCACTGTTATCAAATGAACGGTGTTTCATCACGACGAGCAAAAATTGAGTTAAAACGAAGTTTTAGTGAATTATCTGATAATAAAACATTCATAACTCCTGTCAATGGTTTTCATTCGAAACGTCCAAAGTTATCCATAGTGAAAAGCGAACCATTATCACCAAATCAGAATGGTTTGACTAATGGGTTTCTTCTCAAGCCATCTGTCAAACGAAAACTAACCAATGAAGTTTCGGAATGGTCACCAAGTGACAAATCTTTATTTCGAGTTTTTCATACGATCTATGGCGACAATATCTGTATGATTGCTGATCTGCTCGGTAAGCCGTGTTCACAAGTTTACATGTTTTATATCAATGAAGTGCAAGTTAACGAGAAAAATCTTCTTCTACAACGGCAAAATTCATCTGCAAGCACATCAACAATCGAATCATTTTCCGGAATAACTTCGTCGTTGTCCTCGGATTCTGGTGATGTAAGAATCAACGGTGAACATAAGAAGAAAAAATTGAACGCAGCCAAAGCAACAACAACAGACGGTATAGAAGGATCTTTACCTAAGGAAAATGGAAAGGATGACCATAATTTGGTACGTGAGGAAAATCTACCGTTTTCTTTTCTAATACAAATACTTCTTTTAAGACGAATCATTGTCGTTCATCATCAACATCACGTCGTACTCATTCCTCGTCATTTCGTCGCCAACGCAGTTATCAACAGATCTTACAAAATCATCATAACAATCATTCGTCAGAAAAGAAACGCCATACCTACTATCCTTGTGATCATGATCGATCAATGCCGTGCAATGAAGATTGCTTTTGTGTTCGTTCGGGTAACTTTTGTGAAAAATATTGCTGTTGTTCGTCAACCAAATGTGATAATCGTTTTCCTGGCTGTCGTTGCCGGTCATCGTGTACAACCAAACAATGTCCATGTTATGCAGCTGCACGTGAATGTGATCCGGACCTATGTACACAATGTGGTGCCGATGATTTCCGAAGTGTTAACAATGAATTAAAAACGAGTACATCATGCTCATGTCATAATGTTGCAATACAACGTAGTTTGCATAAGCCACTCTTGTTAGCTGAGTCAGATGTTGCAGGTTGGGGCATATTCACCCAAGTGAATATTCAACGAAACGAATTTATCGCTGAATATTGTGGAGAGATTGTAAGTGAAATAGACAAAAGAGTTTCGTTTGTTTTGTCATAGGTTTTCGTTCTAGTTAACTCAAGATGAAGGTGAATTGCGCGGTCGGATGTATGACACAATAGGAACCAGTTTTTTATTTGATCTTAACGAAGAATATATGGTAGATGCCACACGTCGTGGAAATAAAATACGCTTTGCTAATCATTCGATTAACCCAAACTGCTACGCGAAAGTGATTATGGTCAATGGCGATCATCGAATTGGTATTTACTGTAAACGTTCGATCAACGCCGGCGAAGAATTGTTTTTCGACTATCGTTACGGAGCGAATCATCATTTACGATTTGTTGGTGTCGAGAAAAACACTTCGGCAGATCAACTTGATACATAATTGCTGTGATGAAATGTTCATAGAACATGTTTTTCAATCTCAGGAACTGTTTTATTTATGTTTATATGTATTCAACTAGATTAGATTTCTTCTCTTTTAGTTCAGTTCAATATTGTTTTTAGTGTAATCAGTCTGGGTTTCTCTTTTCATTTTGAATATTAGACAATGTGCTTTTTTTTGTATGAATATTAATAATTGAGTTTAATGGAAGTGTTTCTAGACGAATTTCATGAGAATAAACATGTACCTGATTAGAGAATGGACTTCGTATTTACACAGAGAAGAACAAGAGAATGTCAACTTCTGTACAATATGTGCTTTCAGATCGATCGGTGTAAAGAACTAGAGACATCTAGTTGGTACATCTGACAATGGATAATCCGTTTCCGTCATTCGGGTAGCTATCTATCCAATGTTGATAGATAGCAGCTATTTATAGCTTGTCCGTGTGATACAGAAGTCTCTCATTACAAATAGCGTTGTTCTTTTGAATTCTATAATGGAACAATTCGATTTTACCAAACCAACACCATTTTATGATGTGATTCTCAATATCGAAGACAAAAAATTATATTGCAATCGGGCATTGCTGGCTATTTGGTCACCGGTATTTGAAACGATGTTCAAATCAAATTTCCGTGAACGTGATTCCATGGAGGTCACTTTACCTGGTAAATCATTTGATGATATCAAAGAATTACTCGCAGTTATTTATCCACCAAATCGACCTATTGTTGCAACAAATGTTCAACGTTTACTCGAACTAGCTGATGTAACGACTAAAGCTCGAATTTTTTATTTAAAAAAAAACAAGATTTTGATGTTTATTCTCTAGGAATATCAAATGAATGAATTGACTAAACGTTGTCAAGCTTATTTAATGCAACAACGTGGTACGATCGATTCCTTATTATTAGCGCAGAAGTACAACTTTGACGATGTGATTCGTCGTTGTGCTGATCACTTGAAACACAATCTGAATCTAAATCTTTTACCAAACTGTGGTAACAGTGATCCCCGATTGAATGAATTATCCCTGAAAACAATCAACTTGCTCTTAGTATCACGTGTCAAACATCTAGAAACTGTTTTAGATTCCTACAAACGTAAAGTAACATGTGCCAATGAGAAATTTCGTAATATCAAAGAATTGCCAGGTTACAATGATGAATTCGATCATTGCTCACGACATGAAAGTCATTGTGTAGATTGTTATGATTGTATGAGAATGGTACGAGCTATAATTAAGAAGCTGAGTGAAGAAGGTTTTGAAGAAACTGATTAATTCATTCTTTTCACGTTTGTATCTGTTTTTCTTTCCTAGTCAAATAGAATCTTTTTATCGCACTTTGTTTGCTGTGTATATGAATGAATATTTTTGCGGTGCTGTATTTAATTGTTATTCGAAAACAAAAAAAAATCTTGGTTTTTTTTCATTGACATCATAAATATTTGATATAGACATGCGATTCACACTCTTCTTTCCCTTCATGCTGAAATCATAGCGATCGATTCTAGATGACTAATGATCGAAACATCGATCCGTTGGACTTTGCATCGACACTTGATAACCATCTAAGTGAAAATGGTCAAGAGCAAGGCCATCGGTATGGTTACCAACGTGGTTTTCGACAAGGTTTCAATCGTGGCTTGGATTACGCATGGGAGAACCATCGCGAAATTGCACTGATTGCTGCTTATTGCGATGATCTACATCAAAAGCTTTCGTCGACGACTGATGCCGATCCACGACAGAAACGTTTAGTTCATGGCATCATGGAATCGTGCCGTGAATTTCGCACATTGGCACCTGATGTACCAAGATATGCGGAACTACTTTCATCTGTACGAGCTCGATATCAACATCTGACGGGTTCAACTAATCATTCCACGGACAAAACCAATCTCACATTTTAGTGTTGATTCTTTATGCTTATCTTTTCTCGTGAAATTGTTCATTTATATTCCAAATGAATGAAATATATTGCGTGAAGTATAATATTCAAATAGAACATGATTGAACATACTCGGAATCAAGTGAAGCACGACTAATGACTTTCTTTCCGATACACAATACTAATCTTATCAAGCCTAGAACTAAAGAAAGTATTCTATTCATAATCAATAGCTCTCCACACCGCGCTCAGGAAAAAGTTTACTATTGTGATTTATGTCAAACTTCACGATTTATTTGCTTTTAACACTGAAGAATGTGTCTCATCTCACTTTCATTTCTCTTTCTCTATTTGCCATTGTGATCATTGCTAGCACACATCTATTATTATCATTATAGGAGTGAATGTGCATATGTATATATGTGTATCTCATTTTTAATTAGACGACATAAAGATGTTTGCCTATCAAAGATTGAAGTATGTGTGTCTGAAAGGGAACAGTAGCAGTTCTCTTTTTTTTCATCATTGAAAATGAGAATGTATGAATGATAAGATACATACTCTTTCGAAAGACAAATACACGCCCCTATTCTTTTTCTTATTCTACCTGAATATCTATGCATTTCAAGAACATTTTCTGAACAAACATAATGGGGCGAAAATGCAAATTGACACGAAAAAAAAGCTCCTATATAAGAGAGACTAGAGAAAATGATCATGATTTACTATTCACAGTTACAATACTTCACTATCAAACATTAGCACTAACATGGATTGGAGACAATATGCCATGACATTCTGGGTAAATGATTTACACTTCAAAACCTCCCCCTCTACTTCCACGTACTTGACACAGAACTTACAAGAAGATAACTCTATGTTTACCAGTGATTGAAATCAATTTCTCGTTCAGAGCCAGTTGCATCATCGTGTTAGATATTTCTTCTCTTATTCACTCTTGAAATTCCATCAAGTCTCATTTCACATTCTAATATCAGAAACAAAAACATCATCGTTATTTAAGTAGAAAGTCATACATTCGCTTCCTTTGATCTTGATCAAAAGAAAACAATTACACATTCTCATTTTCTTTTTCAACAGAACGACTACCAATTTGTTGTTAACATGCAATTAGCCATGTATCAAATGCTAACAAATCTCTCATCGAATTCGACTCCACCAGCGATTCCACCGTTACGATTTCGACCCGTTACCGAAAATGCATCGCCCATCATCACTCATCCAAAACCGCTCAAACGGCTCACTCATAAACGACCGCGACCGGTAAAGACAACTCCAACGGGTGAGTAATCGATAAGGAATCGATGAGAAATACGCATCTGGATCATAACTTGTCACCAACGAAAGAGAATAGACACGAGAAACAAATGAATATCAATGATCTTTTCGACACAGTATTCAACGTCAATAACATCAATGGTAACCGTTTAAGACAGGAGGAGAAGAAGAAAAGAAGGAAAAATCTGAGTCGTCTGTTCAGTTCACGTCTATTTACTTTCGTTCGCTGTATATCGTATGATGGGAAAATTTCTCCAGACGCGTCGACATTGTTGACGAATGATTGAAAGAAATGAAAGAGAAAAAACGAACGATATGATGTTCATTATATGCTCAACTTAATTTTGAATAGGTAGCGGAACAGCAACAACTAGTAGCATCAATATGCCTACATCGACGTCTTCACCTGATGCTTACAATGTGAATTATAACGATGAAAGGTAAAAGATTTTCCATGTGAATAAAAAAAGAATTGAAAACAGGCTTTGTTAAGTTACGAAGAACTTGAACATCGACCAGTTACACGCGAAATTATGGCTGCTTATTTAGCTACTCGTCGTCATCGGACAGTGGCGATTCACCATGCGAAAGTAGCACAAAAATCTTATGGAAATGAGAAACGGTATAGAAATAATCACATGTGATTTTCAATTGAATTAACTTGCTTGTTTATTTAAGCTTTTTCTGTCCACCGCCTTGTGTTTATTTGTCTGGGGAGGGTTGGAACGATGACTTCGAACAAGATAACATGTGCACAATGATAGGTATTGGTGAACCACTGTACCACAATGACAATGGTTCTCCATCGGCCAATATCACACAATCGAGTGAAATGCAACACCTACCATTTGAGAATGAAAAAGTAAAGTAGATGTCTGTGTAGTTATGTCATATTCTCTAGTTTTGTTGTAGCATTTTGGTGCAGCTAAAACTTTGTTTATATCTGATTCGGATAAACGTAAACATATTAATTTGAACGTCAAGATGATGTATACGAATAATTTTCGTGAAACTCCTTATATTGGCATGTTTGAAAGCCGGAAAATTAAAGTTATATCAAAGCCATCGAAGAAAAAACAATCAGTGAAAAATGCTGAATGTAATATAATACTACTTTCTACTTCCGCATACCATAACTTTGATATTGTTTTTCTTTAATAGCAGTATGTATTCAATCTGGAACGAAAATTGCTCTGTTTAACCGTCTACGGTAGGATCAAAGAATGTTTTCTCAAATGATTTCATTTGTCACGATATTTTGTTTATTTTGTCTTCAGAAGTCAAAACGTTAGTACGAGATTTTTACATGTTGACGAGAAGAATCAATTTCATGCAAGTGGACAAGAGTGGGGATCATTTTACATTCACCTTATCGAGAATGAAGAACCGTGCATGGAATCAACTAGCTTTGCCGTTAAGGAAGGCTTCGTTCAATACGGTTCAACAGTCAAGTTAGTTTGTTCAGTGACGAATCAAGCATTACCTTACTTGGTAAGTTGCGAGGCGTCATTCTGAGAATGATCTTGTCTATGAACGAAATCGACACTTAGGTTATTCGTAAAGTGGATAAGAATCGAGTACTACTCGATTCGGATGAACCTGTTTCTCAGTTACACAAATGTGCCTTCGAATTCAAAAGTGGACCGTCGTCACCATCAAATCTAGTATATTTATGTTTAGCTGGTGATCGCATTGTTGGCATTGCCGTAAGTGTTCGTGCTCGTAAGAAACTATCTCCAAGTATTCTATCTATTTTCAGGGTAAACCATGTCCGAACGAACGCTTTCGTGTCGATATTAATGATTCGGCATGTTGGACAATCATATCAACTGATAAAGCAGAGTACACATGGTTTGAAGCCAGAGGTCCTGTGTCGCATCCAATTACTCCCGTACCTGTTGCCAGACACATCGTTGTACGTCAATAAATTTCGATTTTTGTATCCAACTCATTTTTTGATCGGCATAGGTTGAAGGTGGTGGTGCAGCTGCAACGATTGAGTTAACTGGAGAGAATTTCGCGCCAGGTCTAACGGTTTGGTTTGGAGATACTGAATCTCCTTGTACAGAGTATCGGTAAGTTTCTCTACGATTGTAGTAATAAAATGTATGAAGTGATTTGTGATCAGGTCAACACAAACAATTGTTGCTGAAGTTCCTCAATTTACATCAGTGATGCCAAGCATGCCATGGGTTCAACGTTCGGTGTCGACACCGATCTCACTCGTACGTCGTGATGGAATTGTGTATTTAACTCCATTAGTTTTTACATATACACCTGAACCAGCACCACCTCGAAAAAGTTCGGCATCGCCGGAAACAGATCAGCCAACTACATCTGACAACAATTTCTGTGAATAGAAAAAAATAATAACTTTTGCGTCTTTTTTTCTCTGTTTTATTCAATGTGCTTGATTGTTTTTTGTTTGTATAAAAAACGAAGAAGAGGAATATAGTTACAAAGAAGATGAAGGAGGTGGTGTTTTGGATTGTTGCGAAAGCATTTTAAATGTCGCTCGACCACTTTTGCCTGTGTAGGAAAGCCAAGAGACTCCAGTTGAAAGAGCAGAGAGTGCATAGATAACTGACATCCAGCCAGTATTATGATAATCAAAAATTGGTGCTGCCATACACAATGTTAACAGTCCAATTTGAACGCCAGTATTTACCTTTGAGGAAAGAAAAGGCGTGCACGTGATATTTCCTGTATCGATCGACCGAAGAATTCAACATACTTTACTGATGAGTGTTGGATAGAGTTGTACTGTCGCGTTTTTCATATTCAAAATTTTCTTCAATGTTCTTGGCGGTGGCACAGATTTGACTCGTAAATAACCAGCAACACACATGATTGCAATGTCACGGCTGAGAATTAGAGCGAGTAACCATAATGGGATAAGATGAACATAGGCAAGTGATATAACAACAATTCCAACAAGCATTTTGTCTGCAAATGGATCAAGGAATGAGCCTAATGCCGATGCTTGCGATGGATAACGACGTGCGATCCAACCGTCAAGTAAATCTGTAAAACCCGAGATGAGAAAGAGCGTTAATGCTGCTGGATAATGATGGCTAACAATCAAATAGCCCAGAATAGGTGATGTGCCAATTCGCGCGAAGGTCAAAATATTCGGTATAGTCCATACCCGATCAGTTTTCGGCTGATCAATTGAATTTGACGAATGCCGTATGAGAGAGTTTGTCGATGATGATTGTAAAGGAAATAATAATCGTTTGTTACATGTCAACGAAGAACAAATACGCGATCGACATTGTAGAATCAAAGTCGACGATGAGCGAGTAGCTAACAATCGTCCGAGTAGCAACATCTGAAAGAAAAATAATGGTAAAAAAGCATTTTCTCATTTACGCAACGCTCCGAATTGTATTTTCGATGTCTTTTCAACACGTCGGATAGTTAAAGATATTCGTGTTTTACGCGTCAATGTCTTTTCGTCTCCACTTTGAACATCTTCCAAACATCGATCGAAATTACTGATCAGTGTACGGCTAATTGGATCTTCATAACGTTCTTCAATTCCATGCAGATAATACGAATACATCTCGTCTTTGACGATGAATAAACTACGTGGTTCAAGAAGGACTCGTGCAATACACCGGGTAGATAGAGATGTGTCCTAAATAAATGACATTGGAAACATTCATTATCTCTCGAAACCAACCAGAATCGTTTTGAAATGCATTTCAACAAATTAGATTAGTTCTCACCTCGGTATTTAGACTATCGATCGGTCGATAAAATTCAATAATCGTATGTGATTGTAATGAAATTGTTGTGACAATCGGAAAGTAAACAGGTCCGTCCGTGTGTGCCATAATTCCCTGACCTGCTTCGTATTCATTCACTAAACAATGATTAAATTGGAAGAGACAATCAGTGAAGATCGTGTCTTTTCCAAGTTGAAGTATTCGCTCCGTAAATGGCTCTAACCATTTCGGTAATGATTCTGTTTGAATCATTCCTTTCGCGTGTGGCTGTCCACCCCAATTTTGTAATCTTCGATTTCGCAATTGGACCCAACGTGTGCGAGGAACATTATTCACACATGAAAGTAGTTGTTCTTCTTCTTCGCTGGTTATAAAATTCGGTACATAGTAGAGTGAATCGGGTAGATTCGTCAATTTATAAATCTCCATGAAAATTACAAACTAGAAAAATCACAATTATTAAGAATCGGTTTCTATTCGTAAAACAAATGAAAATAGTTCTATTCATTTTCAGAAACAAAACACTTGAAAGAAAGAACGCACTGTAACGCATTGAACGTAACGAATAACAAAGAAAAAAACAAGATATGGTCGATCGAAGAAGTTTTCATTTACAAGAAGATGATAATAGAAGCTCGTTGGCAGTCGATTGAGCAGCTAGAAGACAAAGAGATGATGTGGAAGTCGAAAGTCGAAGTGTTATTTGACATACTCGTTGATTTTTGGCGTCGAATAAAAATCCTTTTCTGTTTTTCTACTCTTGTCAAGGCACTTTTTAGATTGAGAAAGACTTTTTGGCATTGTCGCATACGATCTTTTATGTGTGCTAAACGTTCATCGCCGGTGATGTCATTGTCTAAAGTGAGTCGAGAGTGAAAATGGAAACATGTCAAGAAAAATCTTACCGAGATCAAGAAAATTGTAACGACTTGGTCGGCTCTTGAACATGTCTTCTAGTTGTTCTCGCAATGTTAAATTAACTGAAGAATTCATATGGTAATCTTCATTTTCATTATCTGAAACAATTCATTTAGTGATGTGGAAGAATCAAAACAAACTAAGAACACACCTGTTGGATTAATCGTTCGTTTTCCCCCTCGTTTTCCACCCAGTCGGTATCGTTTCACTAGGAAACAAATCCAAATGACCAATTAGGATTTTATCAATGTCTACCTACGTTCAATCGTTTGTTGTTGTTGATCATTTATCATTAAAATTTGTTCGTTATTGTTCGGAAGATTATCGATCGAAGAATTGCTATTTAAATCTGTCTCCAATCTCGTTCGTTTCTTTGCAGAAATCGATGATTCTCGACATGTACGTCGTTTCGGTTGGCGTGTCGAAGCACGACGATTGTCCATAGGTGAATATGGCAGAATATTATTAGGAACATACGATTCTCTTGGAGACGAAGTTGCTGGTTGATTACTGGAAGAGTTATCGATGATCTCTTCTTTGACGTAAACTGGATGCACAAAGCTAAAATCAACAATCGGATACAAAGCATTCTAACGGACACAGAGGGCAATTTACATGTCAGGTGTTGATGTATTGTCGTCGATTTGAACACTCTCGGCTGAAACAATCCTTAGATTTGATAATTGCGTATCAGGAATTGCTTGTTGACGTGAATTATCATCAGTGGGCTCCAACGCATCGTCAGTGCTATTGAAGATTGGATTCTCACTTGTCGTGGTAGATGTAGTTCGTTCACTTGAGCTAATGAAATAGACCAAAGACGAGGATGAGTTTCAACGTACTAGTTTGCTCTCCATTCAACTTACGGAAACTTGTTATCATTCGTTATGAAATTCGGTACCGAATTATTTTCATTTAACGATATGATTTCTAAACTTTTCCATACTAAACAAGATTACTCAAATATTTTCTGTTGACACACAATCAAACCACATGATCTTACTTCCATCATCTGGATTACTTGTCATAGTTTTATTCGTCCCTTCTCTTCGTTCCTTCTCTTCTTCAATTGATATGAATGCCACAGTTGGATCGACACTGATTTCTCCTTCAATCGAATGGCTTCGACGTTTTACAACCTGCTCAAATGCAATCCATTCGTCATGTCTAGAATCAATCAAATGGTGTTATAAACACATTCTATATCATCAGTAGATAGCTTACTTCGAATCCACGTCGATATATTGAACGCGTAATTCTTTTGTATGATCGTTCTTTTCTAAACACTGTACACGGTACTGTTTCCTGTGATTTGTATCACGTTTTATCACTAGTTTGTCATTGACAAATAGATCAGCATACGTGAAATGCTTGCTACTGCTACAAGAACGTAATGAATTGAAATAGACGCGTTGTTTGAATGAGAATCACGTTACCTGCTCGTATCAGTGCTATCTAGAGATGATCGAGAACGTTTCGATGGAGATAGTTGTTCTTCAGTTTTGTAATTGAATTCGAAATTGTCGTCCGAATAGGCTCGTTTCGTTAGCCATGATGGAATTACTGTTGGTAATGTTGTGGAAACTTCAAGAACTTGAATATGTGAATACAGAACGAGTGAAACGGTGCGAAAAACTGATTTCGTTTACCTGGCACATCATCAGATAAAGTTTTAATTTGGTGATTACTCGTTGGCATTGATGGTGATCCATCGGCCGCTGAAGGTGGCGGCGATGGCGACACAGGTGTGACTGGTAAAGGTGTCAAATCATGTGTTTCTGTTTGCTTCGATATACGTTCTCGATGGTTTTTGTGGGTTGCTAGTGTCGATTCTTTCCTATAAATTGAAACATCTATCGAGAAAACATATGAATGTTCAACATACAAAAGTTCTTCGGAAATCTTCGCAATTTTGATAACTGGTGTCATATCATTTTCCGCATCGTTCGTTGATTTCGGTTTTTTCCCCGTCGTTACTTTTTGTGTCTGGTTTTTCGGTTGTTTCTTCTCCTCAGACGAGGGCGTGAACTTCTTCACTGGCGAGCTGTTCGCTTGTTTCTTGATGCGATTATTACTTGATACTGTCGACGAATTTGTTGTTTCATCGTCCGATGTCTCGGAATCAGATGCGCTCGATGATAATACATTGGATGACCTTGTTTTGCCGATTGGTAAAGTTTTTCGTCGAGGCTTGCCTGATGTTAATGTCGGTTTCGAATCAGTGGATTGTCTCTTTGAAGACTAGAAGTATGGATATGAGAAAATATATATGTGACGTTTGACTCGAGTCTTACCTGACGCTTGTTCGAGGTTGAATTGTATTTTGATTTCGTCTTCTCATCTGATAGTTGTCGCACACGAATTAAACTTCGTCTCGAATCACTAAATGTGGTACGTCCACCAAAGTATGTATTTGATGTCGTCATTGTACCTAATTTTTTTGACAATTCTTCATAGGCATATAAATATCTAGATGCAAATCGTATGACAGATGTAGTTTTGCGTTTTCAAGCGGTTCTACAAACTTTTTATAAGCATTTTCAACCAGACGACTATTTTTTACAGATGACTCATCAGGTAAACCCATTTTGATATATACTTTCCCCCATTGATCATTTTTCACAACCTATGAAAGATAATTCATAGAATCTGGAGGAAACTGAGTAGAAAACGACGAACTTTATTGTATCCTCCATAGCGTCGAACAATTTTAAATAAGCGATGAAGATCGAGATTATAGCCGTGAACTTTCGGAATATTATTCATTGGTGTTCCTAGAAAGAGACATTCCATCACATTCAAGTTCATCTTACTTCGATCGTTACTTACCTCGGTCCTCCATGAAGGCAAATAATTGTGCAACAAATGAATCTTTTTCTTCAGTTGTTTCTTCATCACTATCGTCAACGTCGGTATCGCTTGTGCTCGATTCATTATCACTCAAATGTTTCTCTTCAGTCGAATCATTTATCACAGATTTCTTCTTCTGCCAAATAACCGGTATTTGATTGTACTTAATAAACTTTTCACATGCTTTCGTCGCCTGTTTCGACGTTGAACGACAGAGAGATTGAATTTCGGAATTATTCTTGTATGGATAAACATCATCACGTTTGTGAACAATGTATTCTCGACCATCGAGAAAACTTTTGATCCACATGTAATCTGCTAGCGATTTACGCTTGAGCTTTAAAGCAGGAAAAACTTGTTGATTGTTTGTTCCACTGCGTTGGACAGCAATAATCGATGTCATATCATTACTATTTGTGAATATAGCTGGTGTTGGAATGTCTTCGAGAAGTTTTTGTTGATCGATTTGATTTTGATATAAACGTATACCTTGGAGACAGAGTGATGAACGTCTTAAAGATTTCTCATCACCATCATTGAATACTACGGTATAAGTACTATTATCATATATTCGTTTGATAGTTGCTTGTTTTTCTTCGTAATTATTGCTAGCATTGATAATTGCTGCTAGACTACTTCGAGATAAATGTGGCGAGGCTTCATGGCGAATGGATATGGGTAAACGTACGGTTACTATACGTCCCATACGCAGCAAAGCGGGTTGAACAATTTGCTCATCAGAGATAGTGATCGTTTCACCAGTAGTCAAGAGTGTTACTTTAAGTTGAACCTGCTTAACTACGGTTTTAACTTGTGCTATAAAAAGAATGCGTTGATGACAAGCGAATCGCTCTACGAAAGAATTTTACCTGAACAAAAAGCTCCTCGATACTTGGCACTCACCGAGCAACCAATTGGAAGGCATGCAGATTCACTTAATGTAGATGTATTCGTATTCGATTCATCGGTATAGATAGATTGTGACAGTGTCGATGAAGATCGTCTGTCTCTAACACCGTACATCGTGAAAACTAAAATACTTCAAAACTATCTGAAAAACAAACAAATGAAAATATATTATTCGAAAAAGAAAATCACACGTGTTCTTGTTCAACTTTCATTTTTCATTTTTATATATCACTTATCTCCATTCACTGTTAGTTTCTCTTGCATGCAATGACACAGAGATTGATCATCTAATGACAAAAGCAACGGTCAGTTGTTGTAGATCGCATGAAATTACTTACTGCAACATTCATCCTTCTTTTGCATTTCTTTTCGATAACGTTCGGTTTTTCCAATACCTAATTTTGGTACACCCTTATTCAAACCTTCGATTAATAAGCATGCTTTACAGATTGGCATCGATGAACAATACGAACACCGTTCACAAACACGTTGAACAGGCATTTTGGCGGTTTGTTTAACTAACACTTGTTCACCACTATGGATAATATCAATGATTGATGATGGTCTCAATCGTTCCAGATCTTTAATATACGTTCTGATATTTCCACGATACGCATTCGGAGAATAGAGACATTCGGTTGAGAAATAATCCAAGCGTTTGTAGAAAGCATAGAGAACAATTTCTTTTTCATAAGCGTATTTCAATGGTTTACATCGAGGTATTACTGAACCTTCATTTTCATCGGATTCGTCACCGGTTATAATCGACGTACAACGCTTTAATCGTGCTATATCACCGCGAAGTATGTTCATTAAAATCGTTTCAGCAATGTCATCAGCATTATGACCAGTCGCAATTTTGTTCACAGATAATTTCATTGCACCACGATCAAGCGCTTGACGACGAAAAACACCACAGAAAGTGCCTTAGTGGAAGAACAATAATGCCAGTTTGTTTGCAAACTTTCATTGAAATTCTCATCACTTACAATTATTCTTACGCCCCACTGCTTTGACAATTTCATCCTATAAAACATACACACGTGTACACATTGCTTATTGAAATTTTACAGTTCATTACCATACTCCAACCGTATAATTCTTTATATGTAAGAATAATTAAAGGTAAATCATATTGTTGCTGATTACGTTTAACTGTTTCAAGTGAATCATCTCGATATCCTGTAATACCCTCGTCAATAGACAGTAGAACAAGTTTCAGACCGTATGAATGTCTTTCATTCAATAGCTTTAATACATGAGCAAGAACAGTTGAATCTAAATGGTATCGTTATAATCACGTTTGAAATTTTCTTCCTCAATACCTTTTCCACCACTAGCGGCTACAGCAATTGTTTCACCGGGTTTAAATAGTTGTTCGTTAACGATTGTTTCATGTATTTCACGCTCGAATGCTTCGAAAAAACATACTTTACAGTATGGCTCACTTGTTTTCGGCCGAACAAGAGCCGCTGGTCGTTGGCCTTGACATGATACACAAGTCGCGCTCGGCATTTAACTACTATGAAATTACGATCAATCAGAAATAAAATGAAATAACACTACATTACATATCGACAAATCAAATAATGATGAATCACAAACTAGTCGACCAACTAGCCAATATAGGTTATAGTTACTATAGATGGCACTTATTTACACTCGTCTTCGTTCTCGAAATGTTTCGTTTTACGCTTCAAGTCTATCAAATCGAATGACACATATGTGAAATCGATCATCTTTATTACATAGCATAGTAGAGATCGAAGAGCATATGAATTCACATACGTACACAAAATGCAGTGTACAGCGAGAAATAGAGTCCTGATTCAATGGTGCAAATCAGCATGGTCGTATTTTAATCTCGAAAACAATAGGTCTCAGTTCAGCTTCTGACACATTTTCATCAAGTTAAATAGAAGAAAAGAACTCATTTTTAAATTGTTCTTATGTATTCGTTTCATCCAGGCGATGCCTATAGGTTTTGTTTCAATGATCATTTCAGAAGAGTTTCGTCTGATCAACGTTCAGCGAATACGGTACGTGAATGCGAAAAACATTCATAATTTCAGTTTGAATAATCTATTTTCGCGTCTAAATCAGTCCGTACAGTCCATACCATTATCTCGATCATTCAAGTTGAACATCACAAACAGAAACGCATCCGTCGATAAAGAAAGAAAAGTGGTGTCAAGCTACCTCCACGCAGTGCTTTGCACTGTATCAATTCCCACAGAAAAGTTTATTATTCAAATTCTCTCGTTTTTACATCTATGAACAAGAAATTGTCGAATTAATCAGGAGCACTACTCCATTGCCACAAACGTTACCTATTTTCAAAACAAAGTTGTCAAATAAATACGATCAGTGATAACAAAACAAGTTACTCACTACTTATTACTTTTGACGTTGATTCTCCACTCGTCGGAAAAGTTGGTGAGCCACAAACCATTTTTGGATCTTTAGACACTATTGCATCATCTTGTGTGACATAACCTGATTTCATCGAACATGTACCGTCACGATCACTCGACCACGTAAAATGAGTACATCGTGGATTCTTTGCACATGCACCTCCACATTCTTCACCTGACATTTGGACTGATTTGAATTCTCTTCCATTAAAATCACAGCCCATTGCCCAGTTATTCCCATTCCAATTGATTTTACCTTTGTTTGAATAACCACCGTCTAAAAGATTCGTAAACGACAGATTAGTCAAAATCAACAAGAATAAAAGACACTGTCGTTCCCTAATGACTTACAAAGTGTTGGTTGTCCATACTTATAATCTCGGACGAAACGTGGTGAACCGCAGATCGCTTCTGGGTCATCTGATGTTACTGCATCGCTTTTTTTAACACGTCCCGCTTTCATCCAACATGTACCCTGTCGAAAGGGCGTCCATGTAAAATGAGTACATTGCGGAGTTTCTTCACAAACGGTAACACAATGTTGTTTTCTAGCGCGGATATCTTTTAAATTCCTTCCTTTAAAATCACATCCCACTGCCCATCCCTTTGCATTCCAATCAAAATCGTCAGAACGCTTAATGCGGGGAATATGTAAGCCATTTACCAGGAATAAGCCAATTAAATTGAATATACATATAAAATTCTTCATTTAATCTAATTGTTTTTTTCCAAATTTCTATGCGATCTCTAAATAATATGTTGATACTTGTTATATTCGTTAGTTATAAAGCTATTTATGTTCGAAATCAGTTGGAACACAATCGCTAGTTTCATACTAGAGCAACAGGGGAGACGAAGAAGAGGAGAAAATAAGCGTTGAGGACTTGATCCTACATCTTCTGCTGTTCAGGCAAATGTCCTAAGGCAGTTTAACTGAAAGAATCTATTCAATCTCTATTTTAGCGTCGACTGATTAATAACACGCGCTAATCCCTCGTTGTTTTAGAAAGCGATGCAGGAAAGAAAACATACAGCTATCCAGTTTTGGCACTAAATATCAGCTTTCTATTGTACTTAGTCTCCAACTAGTTCAACATTAATAAGCCGGACGAAAAATGACTGATATCAATTGCAGTTGAAAAATAGCTGGAGCGAAGGAACAAACTAAATCCAAAATGGCAGACCGCAAAATAGAAGTGAAAGAGAGAGAAAGAAAAACACATATATTTCTATATGTATATCGAAACATCGAGCTGCGCATAGGATGCATATATTCAAAATGAAAAAAACAACGAGTGATGATAATGTACTATCCGTTATTGCCAGCAATAACTGTTATCTTATCTCACTTTCGCTTCAATTTATACTCAAGAAAAAGGGAGACAGTTCGCGACACGAAAGATCTGTAGATATGTAAATATATGACAGAGTATAACATATAGAAATCGCGCCAGGATATTCATAGTCGATTGTGACTTTAATCGCTTAAGGAAAGACATGAATTTCATAACGAAGGTACGAAAGCAAAATTTTATTGGTTTAAAATGAAGCCAAGAAATCGTTCGTTTTAATCATCTTCAGTTAAATTCAGTGTCTGAAACGAACTTCAATAGCGAACTATGCCACGCATTCTTTCAAAAAAAAACACACTGATCATAAAATCCGGGTTATTTTGCTTTGAGATAACTCGCTTTTCGTATTATTTGCATTCTAAACGGATGAAGATGTATATGAATGAGACAGCTCAACTTGTCCCGCTGTATAACCTGTTCTCCTTCGTATTATTATTTGTATTCATTCGGTAACTCTCAGTTTGAAACGAAGCACCAGCGAGTTCAGATATTTGTTTCAAGGGAGAAGGGAGACAATAAACGCAATTTTGCTGAAAAATGCATTTCTTGAAACTCCGACAAAGAAATATCAGAGATACAATTGCCTCCCTTCGTTTGCATAGCTGTGGCCCGTCGGTAGACAGGAGGGCCCACTTCATCATTGGCGCAGCAACTACTAACAGTATATTTATTTATTTATGCAAACACAAAATACTTTGCATACAAAACTATGCTGGATCGTCCACAGGGTGACTTCGAATGAAAGAACGCGACGAGAGCACACATATAAGATTGCAGTGTGACGAAGCATAATCTTGAAATCCTTATCTTTAGTTTTCTATTCGGCCGCTCCGCTACTTTTCAGTTATATTGACCGAAAGTTAATCAATCGGTACTCACGAGGTTGACTACGACTAGACCTGTATCGAGTTCAAATGATGTTGTTTTGATATGAACAATTGTTCTCTCCCTAGAATACGTATGGCTCATTCTTCGACATAGAGAAAAAGACGAATGGGAAATGGTGTTTACACGGCATGGATCTCTAACTGAATGATGTGAAGGTCGACTCACATAGAAATGAAGATTGAAACTAACTTTGATACAGCCATGAATGGCAACTATGAGAAAGGACATCTTTCTTTTCGCAAAATAAACGAAAGTATTTGTAAATAGCCAAATGTAATAACGAATCAGCGACAAGTTTTAACGACGTCGACGTCGGCGTTAGATAGTTAGTTTTAACGCATACACTCGTATTGTCTCATTCTATTTACCACATGTCGTTTACCAATCAGCTACTTAATGTTAATAGCCTTCGTAATCAATACATTGGCGTACGACATGGTGAATCCGAAGCAAACGTTGCTCATCTTATCAGCAGTCATCCACCTGTAGGAACTAACATCCATGGACTTTCTCCAACTGGACAAAAACAAGTTGTGGAAAATACAAAATCGTTTCTTGAGAGCAGCTCACCTAATGCTTCTTATGTAATTATCTCAAGTGATTTTCGTCGTGCCCGTGAGACAGCCGAGATTCTCGCATCGACTCTGTCTTTATCTAATGGAAATAAACCAGATGTTCAGCTAGATCCACGCTTACGTGAACGTTTCTTCGGTATTTATGATGGCACAAGTGATGAGAATTATGAGCTCATTTGGAAAACTGATGAAGATAATCCAACGAAAAACGTTACTGATCAGGTAGAACCTCCGGAGAGCGTTCGAGAACGAACAACAGCTTTAGTTAAGGAACTTGAAGATAAATACGAAAATCAAACCATTTTTCTCGTCAGCCACGGCGATTCGTTACAAATTTTACAAACTGCTTTTCAACGTCTTCCAAATGCAAATCAACAAAGACATCTGAAACATTTAGAAAGAGCTGAATTTCGACGTTTGATTTTGAAATAAATTTCGCTCACGTGTTGAACAATTTGACGAATAACTTTTTCTTCTATAGTAAAAATGCCACATACAGTGATGATTTGTCTGCCTATTTAGAAACCCATCTGACGACGAGTATTGATAGTTATCGGAGGTAGAACGCGATATATATTTAATAGAAGATAACCTTGAGTTAATGGGCGACATCACCAAACTATGTAAACTACTTATAATCATCGTTTCGCGAAAAATGTATTACGACAACGCCTATACCTGTTCCTAGGGTGTAAAAAGAAAAGCAAATGATGAATGCATCGCATGCAGTATACCTTTCATCGATATAGTGTATCTAGATATATTAGTTATTTATTTTTGTTTTTCAAACATCATTCTATTGATAAAAAAAATGTAAAGCGCCATTATATGCACGTATATCGGCACGTGACAAACAATCTTTACCTATCAAACGAATATACTGGGCTGGCTAATAAATATCCTCGACAACTATGTTCTCTCCTTTCATTTTTCTCATCTGTATCATTCATGGGTGCTTAGCTATCTGTATCTCTATCAATTTATACAAACAGTACTGAGCATATATTAAAGATCCGGTATGACGAACAATATTAACGGAAAACAATGAGTCTCTTTGTTTATGGTAGGTCGATTGTTCATAATGGTAAAGCTTTTCGAGAATCCGAGTGATTCTCCATTGGCAACTTTCTTAATGCAAGTGTTCATTACGTTAGTTGTATGCAAGATTCTGGCGAAAATTCTTTCATACATTCGACAACCTCAAGTTATTGGCCAAATTATTGCAGGAATCATTTTTGGTCCATCCCTTCTCGGTTTGGAGAAATATATATATATATAGATAGGAAATAGTATTTTGTTCTTTTTCTTCATTCTAAAGGCCAAATTAACGCTTGGACCGAAGCCATTTGGCCGCCCTCAAGCATCCCCGTCTTTCAGCTCATCGCAAATTTAGGTTTAATCTTTTTCATGTTTTTCCTTGGACTTGAATTGGATCTCGAACAAATCAAAACCAGTTGGAAAACTACAATACCAATTGCTTGCGCAAGTATTATCATTCCAGGTGAGTAGTATGTATCATTCCATAGGGAAAACCAAATATGCACTCAAATAGTTGGCATCGGCTGCGCCGTAGCTCTCTGGCTTTATGACATGAACACAGGTCTAGATACAAATAAAGCTGCATTTATATTATTTATTGGTAAGGCCAACGACAGAATGAACTTAACGATATGAAATATTATTCTTATAGCATCTGGTTTTGGTTTTTCGGCTTTTCCTGTACTTGCTACGTTGCTCAATGCGATGGACCTATTAAACAAACCGATCGGTATTCAAACGATTTCATTAGCTGCTGTAGAAGATATTTGTGTCTGGGTAATCTTAGCAATTGCTAGTGCATTTTCATCAGGAGGTTCAGCTCTGCAAGGTCTCTATACACTGTTATTAACATTAGCTTTTATCGCGATCATGGTTCTCATTATTCGACCAATTCTCAAACGAATTCATAAATATTATTGGCGACGGCACGATGACACAAATGTTTACTTAGTTGTTGGATGTTTTCTATTACTTATTGTTTCGGCATTTACAACCGAAGTTATGGGTGAGAGTTGAAATCGATTTCAATGTAAAAGTTTATGAAAATACTTTTCCACGCCGTTTGTCTAGGTATTCATGCTTTTTTCGGTGCTTTTATCAGCGGTTTATGCATTCCACGCGAAGGAGAGTTAACAGACTTTTTAGGTGTACGAATCGAACTTATCATCGTAGAATTTTTCTTACCGTAAGCGTTTTATCTTGGTTTGATGAAATATCTCAAGTGATTCGAAATATGTGTTGATTTTTAGACTCTATTTTGCAAATAGTGGCCTTAATACGCATTTGAATTTACTTACTTCCGGCAAAGTTTGGTGGACACTAGTTGTTCTACTCATTCTAGCATCGACAGCTAAGATTGTGCCGGTGGCATTGATGACGAAACTGTGTACGAAGAAGCCTTGGTCTTATTGTTTATCAATTGGCGTTCTGATGAACACACGTGGTATCGTTCAATTGGTTGTTCTGAATATCGGTGTTCAATTGAAAGTTATCTCGGAAATTATCTTCGCGTTATTCGTATTAATGGCAACGATCTTAACATTTCTGACCTCGCCTATCTTGTATTTACTCTATCGCAAAAATTTCAATATAAAAAAGCTGTCAGCTCCACAAGTAGCCGATGAATTGCGACACATTCGAGAAGGTGATATCGTTATGGATGACTACAGCAATATGAATCAAACAGAGCCAATTACCGATTTGGAAAGAAATGAACTAAAACGTAGTTCATCTACTTTGACTGCACAGCTATCGACAAGTAATGGTGCACTCAATACACTGTTTACAGTTGAGGAACAATTGAATTATCCACAAATTAACCAAGATCCAGAAGGAGGCCAACTAGCCGTTCTTGGTAACATAGTGGCAATGCCTGTATGTCCCCGTCGTCCGATTTATATGACGAATTTTTGATAAATTGCTTTGTTTCACTTGGCTTTCCAAGTCAAAATACAAAACCAGTTAATTATCATCATAAATCACGTCTATTGCCCATCGAAGTGTTGCTAATCAGATGAAAAATGAGGAGCAATTCAAAAGAATAATATTTATTATATTCACGATTTGGTATAATTTCTCCCAATTTCTAAACTTTCTATCATTTCTCTTTGAGTAGATAACATTGACAGACACACAAACAAAAAATATATATATGTATATATATATATATATATAGTAAGAAGAATTGCACGGAGACCGCATACACTAAAAAATAAGGTAACATTGTTTCCCAGTCAGTTCAATATAATACACAAGAAACAAATGAATACACGCACGTACAAGCAAAGAATTTTTTTCTTTGTTCTTTAAACAAATCAATCTGCATTTATCGAAATTGAAACACGCTCGATGTTTTTTGTGGAACATGTTCCAAAGTTAAACTTTGAAACCATTCAGATGAATTGTGATAATAGTAACCCTGTAGTTTCCCTGTACTTAATTGTAAACAAATATAGTAAAAGCCAGCAAACGATGCGCCTAGAAAAGAAAAGTTTGCTTTTTTGACTCGAAGAAATAATTAAATGAAGTAAACGAACCAGTTATATTTCGGACAGTATGATCAGGAACAAGAAAATGTTCTTTCCATCTCATGAAAACGAAATCGGAATTCACTCCACGTTGTAATTGATCATAATCAAACGAATCGTTGTTGAATGTGTCTACATAGGGTAAGAATGCATCGAATTTACTCCAATGTTGTCGATCAACTTCTTCATCAGCTTCCCATTTTCGTGTCAAGAATGGGTAACGTTTTGAGATAATTTCTGCATCGAAGAACGTCGATAATTTTGGATATTCATCAATTAAGCCCGTTATTCCCAAGTATCCACATATGTATGAACGTTCTAAGTCGACATGATGAAAAATAACATCGACGTTATAAGACTTGCCTTTGGACTTTTGGCTGCCCGTGAATCGAGATGATGGACAGAGGATTGAAATATTTTTATTGGGTGGACCCAAATTCATATCGGAGAATTCTAACGAGCCTAATAGTTTCATTTTTTTAAATGTGGTTTGTGAATAAGGGACGGACGAAAGGCAATGTAATGTGTCGAGTAGAACAGAACGAACAGAACAAATAAACAAAAAAAGTAGGTAAAATGAATCCGAGAGTGAACCAATGAGATTTTATGAGCGACAGAGTACGCTAGTTTCTATATCGACATCGAAGTAGGAAATTTTTTATCTATATGTGTATACAAAATATAAAATAACAGGAAAAAATGATAAAAAATTCGAATCTATTTCGAAGTAATAGGTCCACTATTTTTCGATGTCATTTTGCGACGATGTGCTAATCGTACTAAAATACAATATCTCAGATCTTCTATGTGATGATCGTAAAACGATTCTTACAAGCATCTTTCAACGATGGATGAGCGTAGATCATTGCTTGTTCATAAGTCATTAATTTATCCGATTCAGGTGGAGGAACATGATGATGAAAATGAGGACTTGGTGATGTACCCATAGCCATCGGCTTCGTAATTGATGAGGCGCTGGGATTCATTTGTTGTCGTTGCTGTGGTCCGAAGTTTAATGATACTGATGATGCGACAGAGGCTGGTCGTACTGACGGAGTAGTCTGAATAAGAACATCAAACGAGAAATCAACTTTTTGGTGGTCATTCTATACCGGTTGATAATGTCGAGCATCTTGACGATGAATTTGTTCGTGTTCATGGAAAATCTTAACTAACTCTTTGTTGATACGTTTTGTTTCTTCCAACTCCGTCATTCCCTTCTTGATTTTATTCATTTGTCTCATCTAAAAATGAGATCAGACATTAGTTTTGTAATTCATAAACACAATTCATCGTACATATTCGATTCTATGCAACATTAGTTGATTCCATTTCGAATCTTGATAATCAAACACCTATGAAACAGAGAATTCCTTACCAGAAATATTCTTATGACATATCGACACTGTTACATCAAATAGCTGTTTGTACATATTGGCATAAAGTTTACAGATTTGTTCGCGTACTTGAACTTCAGTAACATGAATCAGTTCATGGCGTGGTATAAATAAAACTTTTATCTGTGGTGGCAACTAAATATTGCGTTGCAGTCACACAAATACTGATTACGGGTGGCTTACATTAGAATTAATTGGATAGATATGCGTAGATTTCGAACAGATTATGCCTAGAAAAATTATGAAGAGAAAGCTCAAATAGAAATATCTCGATTTACAAGTGTTGTTGTTGTTGTTGTTGTTGTTCATGGATTCCATGACACAATCTCGACAAATGATATGGCCACATGGATGACAATAAGCTAATGGTAATCGAGTATTGCTCGTGCCATTATGTTCGCGTCGTTTGCAAACTTCACAGTGAACCCATTCGGGTGTCGTAAAGTGAGGTATAGGTACAGGTGTTTTCGTCATCTCCGATTGAACTGACTTCGGCGTTGGCGCACCGATACTATTGTTCAGCATGGATGAATCCAAATCCTATCATATCATTGAATGAGAAACTTTCTGATAAAAAATACGTTACCACCGAAGCACGATTAGCAGCCGTGGATGGTAATGTTGCATTTAGATTCATTATTCGAATATATGTATGTATGTATGTATGTATAGATTGAACTGAATTGAACTACACTTTAATTTACCGCTAAAGAGGCTGATTATAGTAACAAACATCCTATTGGCAATTAGTTGCTTTGACATATTTTCAAAATCGAAAAACTCCAGTATAGAAAAATACTTATCAGGATGAATTAATTGCTATTAGAAATTTATAGAGGACAGCACTAAACAATAGGTCTAGTTTATGGGTCCACGATGATTCACTAGTGTGAAATAACCGTTGAAATTGAATTTGATTCATTTTATGTATATCTGTATAGTGTCTATTATTATTTGAGATGGATTGAAATCGGAAGAAATGATAAAATAGTATGCCTGTAGTCGTAGAAAAGAAGTTTTTATCGAGATACAAAACACATCACATATGTTAAATACTATAAAATGAAAAGAAAATAATATGGTACTCTTTTACTCGCTCAACATTTCGTTCAGTCTCATAAAAAAGACGTCCGAGATTTATCCTAATTAAATATAAAAAAATAAATAGTTTAGGAATCATTATTCGAAGAAACTGTTGCGGGTTGAATTTGATTTTGTAGAAAATCGATCGTATCTTTGATTATTTGTAAACGTGTACGCAAAGATTGAGAAATGAATGCCGTGTACTGGAGTTGGGATTCAATTGGCAAAACATCCAGTATTTTCCAAGCCCAACTAGGCCCATCCGCTAATAGAAGAGAAAAAAAAGACATATGAATGAGAATCGTGAGACTCCAATGCAGTTTTTACTTGAATCACGAGTGAAATCGTCACATGATGGATATTCTTCTAATTGACGAGAGATTAAATCTTGTCGATGTGTGTCGAGTTGGTCAAACCAATGACGAACATCTGAATAGATATTACGATTCAGTTCAGACAGACCTAATAGAACACAAAAGGAGAGCAGTGATTGAAAACAAGAAATGAATCATCAAACGGACCGTCAAAGTCTTCTTGTTCGATTGGATGATCTCGTATAAGTTGAACACGCGCCGTGTAATATTGATCTCTCATTCCTCGATCAACAACACGAAAACGTCGTCGACCAATCGTATCCACAATGGAACGTCCGTCACGAGTATATACGAGACCACGAATGTATAACAATGTTCCGTAATCGGTAAACATTCTAAGAAAAGGTACATTGAAATTTAATGCATTTCTTCGTTTTTGCGGCATTCTTTCTCAAGTAAGCCATTTCTTTGACTCAAAAAACAAGTACGTCAATATACGTACATAGTTCAGAAATGTAACTACTCAAATCGAATATTTCCCTTAATAGTCTTACTCTGTTTCTTCGTCGTATGTACACATGCCGAACGTTCTCGACTGCGTAGCCATTGTGCGTCGTATCAACAATCGATAGCGTGGCTCGAATACATGCAATGGACAAGAACAAAACGGCAAAGGTAATACACAGACAAATATTGGAATTTCGAATATGGTCGATGCGTCAGTATTATTTGACAATAACTTTGGAATTAGTACTCTAAGAAAAAAGGCAATTTTAGATGAACATTTACTACAGGGTAGTGCATTACCCATCGATATTTTCTTGTTCGTGTAGAGCTTGTCGTTCTCGATATTCCTCCGGAAAAAAACTTTCAATTATTTGCGAAATGATTTCCGTCGTGTTCACGTAGGATTGAATCAGCAATGGGAAAAACTGAACAAACAAGGATAGGAGTTGACAAACTTTTTTGTAGACAAAAGCCCGTACTTCGTCCAATGGGTTCTTGCACATTGGGCATTGAGCTTGCGTATTATCAATCGAACGAATTAGACACTCTCGACAGAAAACATGTCCACAAGGTGTTGTCATCGGTAGCCACAATAGACTAAAATGTTCGAAGAATATCATGACAAGAATCGTTGAATACCAGTCGTATACATACTTAACACATATAGAACATTCGAAATCTTTGACAGACAATTGTTTATGATCAGCTAATGAACAAAAACAGGAACTTGTCGCTAAAGTTTTACAAATCAATAGAGAAATTTTTAGTTCGAAGGGCACATACATGTTGAACGACATGTAAGTAATTTAGTGCCACATGTACCTGCAAGAAAAAGAAGGCGTTCGTGTCATGACTAGAATCTATTACGGGTAAACGACAGATCACTTAGAGAGTAATACCCTCGTAGTTTCTCTTATGAATTAAAATTTGCTCATACCAGAATTAGTTACGATTGTCGATGTGTCATTTGGTATCAATGGGGATGATCGTGTTTCTGTCGGAAATGTACCTTCCGGCTGATCATTATCATGTAAAACTGCATGAAGGTGCTGCAAGAAAGGCATCTAATCCGTCAAAGTAAAATCTCTAGATGATTATTACATACTTGAGCCATAAGTTGTTTTCCTGTTTGATCGTCGGGGTCAATAGTGAGTCCATGTAATGACGATAATAATGCTGATGTAAAACGCTTCGTTTCAAACAGGATTTGACTACGACAATAATAACCCTATGTGTAGATCATTGGTTACTAGTTACATTTCCAATATATGTCTTACTTTTCTCCAGAATGGTTTCAATCGAATAACGTGGTCAGTATCAGTTAGTGCATTATCGAATTGTTTCAATTTCACATATGTTTTTGCTCGGCCATAAAATGCTAAATACTCATTGTCATCTAAAAACAAGAAGAATAATGAACGCTAAGAAGAGAAAACGACTCCTACATTTCGTGATGATTTGAGAATAAATCTCGATCGCTTGTTGATAATTTCCATGCGTACATTCGTTTCGTGCTTGTTGGTATAGTCGGATGTTTTCACACTTGAATTCTAAGGTTTTCATGCGTTCAATTATTTCCTTGAGAAAATGATTTCGACTAAACCCATGGTCAATTGCATACCGAATCGATGACGTAATCTGTCCTTGAATATTTCTCGGACAACGTGGGCAGTCGATTGATGTATCTTCTGAATCTTTAATGCATTGTTCGCAATATGTATGACCACAGTAGAGTGTCAATGGTTCATAGATTAGATCTTCACAGAACGAGCATATCCATGGACAAGATATCGCCAACGATGATGACGTTGCCATTTGTTGAATAGCGAGCTGATGGCAAATGGGTTCGAGTTCTACCGATGTGTAAGATAAAAATCGTGCACCTGGCTTTCGTAAATCAGCCAAGAATTGTTGACAGCATTGAATCAGTAAAGATGATTTGACTTTCAACAAAGATTTCTTCTTCTCTTCTAATCTGAGCTTTCGTTTTTTCACGCGAACTAATGAACTCTTTGAAGAATTGGGATGATAGTTAGAATACATTTTCGATTAAAGTGAAAGACATTAAACATATGCATAAATGAAATGTTCTTGATAAAGTAGAAAATATCGACTTCACCAAAACGAACTGATTACGTGAGCAACGTTTATATGCTCGCGTTCTCTATTTTTTTTTCTTTTTCTCTTTCCTCTCTCCCACTTTCCGAATGACGTGCTTTTTCTGTTCTGCTCCACTTTCAGTACTTTCTACAACCTTCTCGGACTGATTACAACATCGCAAATACTGCTTCCTACGAGACAATTATGTAACCGTTCTATAACACACATTGTGAAAAGAACGAAATAACCTATTTCTTTGTACATCGATCCGATAGAACTAAGTACAAAACAACAGATTGAAGTATTATCATTAGACACTTTTGATATCGTCAGTCAAGTGATATACATTTTGATAAACAACACAACATTTCGGCTATTTATACGTGAAACGCTACCCTCTTTTGATTATCTCGAAAAGCACTTCAAATAAAGGTGGATGGGTATTTTCATAGTTGAATCCTTTGAGTCCACTTCTATTTGCCTATATCGTGTCCCACACAGATAGACATTTACATCATGCCTACCGAATCGCACTTAAAGCACTTGATTAAATTGTACCATGAAGAGAATTTGTTTCGGCACGTATCAGAGTTATTTATATATATATATGTTTGTGTGTGTATGCTTATAAATATATAATTAGAAAAAAAAATCAATGTATCTACAATAATTCAATATATAAAAACAAATCACACCGTCTTTCAAATTCGTTTGTTTTGCTTTTCTCACAGAGACTATGCTGGATTCATTTACGTAGCTGTCTACAAAAATTCGATGCTACATGAGAAGTTTTCGAGATAATTTTGCTTTTCATTTTAATCGAGCGTTTTTTCGACAAAGCAGATGGCGAGGCATGATAATTTTGTAATGGTAAATAACTGATACCGTTTGGTAATGTTCGAGATGCTCGACGACTCCACTTGTCATGACCATTATTCCGCACGATCTCCAAATACCAGAAAAACATTTGATTACGGTCAGCAAAACGGAAGGAAAAACCAAATGGTAATTGACTAGAATTTCCATCGGGAATTTCAGGAGGTAGAACAGTCATAATTCGATACTCATTCATATCAAATGGAGTGACAAAACGACAGTCAGCTCCGATGTAAAGATAAATTTCTTCAATCGGCCAAGACTTTAACAGTGTTTGTTGATCGAATGAGACGCTGGCAGTTAAATCTTGAGAATTAACATTCCCTTTCCATTTCACTGATTTTTCATTCGCGCTCGTTACTACCCGATGAACTTCAAGCTAGAAGAAAAGAATAATTTCAAAGCTGATTATGTAAGACCTACAAAATGACATTAGAATGACATACAAACACACACCTGTTGCGCCTCACTAGTGAAAAGAGGATAGGCGGTCACTGAGTCCCATATTCTTAATGATATGTATATACTTCAGTGCATCTCTAACTCGAGGACATGAAAATAACCTGATTACAACTGATAGATCTGTCATTATTAATTTCGCGAAGAACAAAATGCGTAATAATTGAATTATTGAAAGTTTAAAGAAATACTTTTCTTCAACACATGATTAACTTACTGTTGCCTTTTCAAAGATCCATAAACATGGCATCCATCGTTGATTAGTGATATCAAAATATTCACATTGAGTGGAATGATTATTTACTGCGGATTGTCGTTGTGCCAAACGTTCTTTTTCGAATTGAACATAATTGAGTTTAACTACAAATGTCGCTTGACGATTCAATTCATGCGAGAGATATGTTCGATAACGATATAGAACATCGGATATATTCTCACAAGAGTACATTGGTCGTTCAAGAGTTTGATCAATGATAACTTCAAACAAACACCAGAAGAAACAATCATTTTGATTTACTTGTTTGAGTAACTTATCGACAACCATATCGGCAGTCGTTTCTTCTTCGAATATATTCATAGCGTAACCGTTCAATTCATCGGAACGAGATTCAAAATAAACAGATATCATTGCGCCATCTAACAGGCGTGGAATGAGTTGATTTTCACGGAATGAGATTAGAGTTTCTATACAATTTTTCTCATGTTCGAGTTCCTCGTATGTTATATCAAATAATTCACAGTAATATTTACAAAGGTTTGTGAGAATAATCAGATTAGCTTGGATCGATGGTGTAACATGAACATAAGCTGATGAGACAGGAAATTGAGAAGGAGATGCAGAGGCTATCGATAGACGACGAGATGCTGAATAGAAACAATTTTTATTCTAGTTTTCAAGAGACATTTCAATTACCTCTGGAATGCAATGACTGATTTCTTTTCAGATTCGCAGATGTTGGTCTGTTGTTTTGGTTTAAATAGGACTCTTCGTCATCGTCCGAATCTCTTTTATCCAGATCGTCAAGCGATCTATTTCGATATTCGAATCGATTATCTTTATAATCCAGCGGGACAGAAATATCTTGAGAGATAAGACACGGTGCAAAAGTTGATATTAGATTTGACAGAGTCATTCCATTTCTTGAAGATAACGCCGCAACTGTATGCATATGTATCAACATTAATCTCAATGTTGCATAATTAATCGGTAGATGCTGTTTGAGATCTTTAATCAAAACTCGATAATATTGTATTAACTGATCTTCGGTCATCGTATCATCTACAGTTGAACGTAACCATGCATAATAACTTTGCCGTGTGCCGAGTAATGGTACATCTAGATGACGAAGGAAGCGTTTTAAAGCATTGGCAACATCATGTTCGCTGTAGTTTTCATGTGATAACAGATGTGTAAATGGATCTGTTAGACAGTCGTTCAATAATTGTCGCACTTTCGATTCTTGTCCAGCTTGACGATAGATGCCTGTAAACCAACGAAAAATCTCATGAGAACCTTCTCGACATGAGCACAAGTATTGTTACCTTTTGTTTGTAAACCACGTTCGAAAATAAAATTAACGAACCGTTCGACAATCACTGGTATGTTCTGAGATGTTAATATCTGTTGATTTATATCTGTCAATGTTCGTACTTGGACAGCTTCACGTAGACACGAATACAACATGTTCGTTAGTTTACTAATCGGCGATGAGAGGTAAAGAAATCGATTGGAAACAAGACAGAGAATCACACCAGTGAATTCCGGAGTTTTTTGATAAGCTAAATGGAAAAGAGACGAACGATCCTTTCGAATGGAAGATATTCATTGCTACTTACTTAAGCTCGAATATTTTCTCAAGTCCACTTCATCAAAGATGGTATCCGAACAAAGAACGAATCGTCCGGCATAGACAATGGCAATAACCTGTTGTTTTTCTGCATTGATTCCCTCTTGTACATTCAGTTTCATTAATAAAATAAAATTCGGATAAACCAATTGATGATAGGAATATTCTCGTTTAATAATTTCACGTATCCAAACGGAACGTTCGATTTCACTGGCAAAAACACATTCATATTCATTCGTGGATATATGATCATCAACAATCAATGAACATTGACAATTGACATTTGCTTGCGGCGCATTCGATAGCCGACATTTCAAAGAAACACCATGTACAGATCGATTATGAATAGCAAGAATGTTATTTAGATCGATTTCGAATAAGCATCGTTGAGATTTGTCAGATGTAACCGGAAAGATTTTCAGATGATTGTTTTCATAACGTGTTAGAAATTCTTTCAAAGTGCTGTATTTAGTTGATAAATAAACGATTGACTCATTGACGTCTTCTGCGTTGCTTTTCATGAAATCAAAATCAGAAAAACCTACAGTCAAACAAAATCATCACGGTATTAGTTTTCGACAAGAAAGTTTCGTTACACTCTAAACCTATCAGACATGAATCTAAGACAGAAAAAGGTACTTGACACAAGGTCGTTTATTCTGTTAAAAAGAATCATGATTACAAACGTCTGTCTCAGGTACTTGTCAACATACTCGATGAAAAATCATCGGCGAGTAAATTGCACTGTATTCCTTTTCAATTGATATGATGATGAATGACTACATATTACGATCATCATATGCAACCCACTATGCACACACTACTAGCGACGACTAGTTTTCAATCGTCGAGAACAAAGCACATGGGATGTTAGTCAAGTTAACACTACTCATTCTATTAATTTTAGTGAATATACATGCTGTTACTAACACTTCAATTAACTTCTTTCGCGAAAGAAAACAAGACTAAACAATAGACATATGAACATGAATGAGGAAAATTATTTCGCTAACGAAACAAACAGACTTACCACCATTGGCGAGAATGATTTTCATCTGTTTAGTTTGTTGATGTCGTTTAGCATGATCGGCAACGGAGAACATCTTGTCCGAGTAGTTAGCATTCGCTCCTAACATGAATAAATGTATCGTTTTGCCATAATCAGTGGTTTCGACGTTTTCGTATAACATTCTATTCAATTCATCTTCTGACAGTGTTCGATGTCGATAGTACGATTGTAAATAAATTTTCTCAATATACTTTTTTCTTATGTACTGTTGACGTTCTAAATCATTCGACTGTTCAGTTGGCTTCACCAATAGCGATGACTCATTTTCCAGTAGGTTATTGGAAAACTGGTTTCCATACTCAGCTAATAATTCGATTAAATGAGGATCACACGCAATCGTAAGTAACGATTGAAGACGAAGAAAATCCGATGTTATTAAACGGTGAATAGCTATGACAAGGCAAAAGTAAGAATCGAGCGAATTTAACGGTTTGACTTACCGGCACATTTTTTACATATGACCAGAAGCCATGACATGATGGCAACGGTCGGATTTTCTGAACTACAATCAGCACATTGGCAATTACTCGGATTTTCCTGTACTTTTTCAAGATAAATCGTTGTTCGTCCTTAATACGTGAGAGATCAATAGCGTTTTCGCACCTTTTTTTCTTTATTTCTTCGACTCACTCGATACAGGCGGACCGCTATTGATACTAATTGATGAATTGGCGAAATCGTCGATTAAAATAGAAACTGGACTCGGCTGTTTAGACATTAGTGCAGCTGGTAATCTAAGCGAAAAGAAATTCTTTCACTCCTATCGATTGGACTCTTTTCTACATACCGCTGATCGGCTTGATCATGTGATATTCGAGAATCTTCTTTGGAAGTCACTGAAACTTCTTGCTCAGGTACCTGGAAGGAAATCAATTAAAAGAACTTTTCAATTAAATATCAGTATTGAATCAACTTCAAATAATCATCTGTTCCTTTTTTAAATTCTTATCGAATGTCAAGCAGCGAGAAGAGAAATAGCATACTTTTCTTTTTTCTTTCTTCTTCTTCTTACTCTTTTGTTCCCTATGATGTAAAAGATGACATTGAAACATATACATTTTCTTTTCCTATTCATCTGAAGAAAAATATTCACAAGAAATTATTTACCGATAATGAAGGCTGATCAGAAGTGACTGAAGAATTTGAATAGGTCATTGAATTGTCATCAGGAGCCGGTGATGTAATATAGAATAAAGTTGTATTTGACGGATTAAATGAGATTGAACGATGAAAAGCATCGGCCTTTGAGAGATTTGTAAGAGTGTTAACTCGGTTAGCAGAAGCCACACTTGCCGTACGATATACAACACGATTATCATCGTTCTCGGAAGTCATTTCTGGTTTTTCAACGGGATCAGGGTCACCTGAAAGATAGAGTGAAAGAGAACTAAGTTTAAGTTCATTTACTGTCTAGTTACCAGGCGTTAACTCGGCATCATTCGAATCGACGGTAATCAGTTGTTTTTGTTTCGATCTCGGCGTTCTGTTTTGATTTAGTTTCAGTCGGTTTTTGAAAATTGAATTCGATAGTCGAGCTTCACAGGGTATATCAAAGGAAGGATCCATCTAGAATAAAACAAACCAGAAAATCAATGAATCGAAATCATCGTTTTATCGCTTAGGAAACAAACGAAAACATGAATATCACAAAAACTTTTCTTAGCTGCTTATTGATTGATTATCTTTTGCAAGAAATTCTTCACGAATACGTTGAGCTTCGAACGAATGAGGATTCATAATACAAACGAGATCTTGCCAACGCTCATCATCGCGCATTTGACGATAATAACTGTACGATTGCAGACGTTTTTTCTTATGATAATCACTTTCTTTCTTAGCAAACTTCATTGTTACTAAACTTGCAATCGGCTCAGGTTTATTTTCTTCACTTTCACTTCCTGATTGTTCGCCGTCGCTGCCATACGCTTCATCGTCAATAAAGTTTGAGTCTTTCGCATTAGCACCACCAGATGTTGACGATGGTGTATCGATATAATCAAACTGTGGTCGAAGTTGTATGATAGATTTCAGTGGGCATAGAACTAAACGACGGTTTTGATTGTCGAACAGGCAGACAAAATAGTGGTCACCTAAAATAGAAATGAGCTTAAGCGATTCTGATGCAAGAAAAACAAATTCTCTGAGAAAAATCACATACGTAAACCGACGTGAGTCTATTCGTTAAGTTAAGTCGAATATTTTCGATAGAAAAATGCATGAGAATATAAATTCGCCTGAAGGATTACGAAAAGAAAAGGTTTTTCTTTTGCAAAAACAAATCAATGTCACGTATTCTAATTTCTTCAAGACGACGATAGTCACTCTAGAATGTAAATATAGACAAAGGTGAAATATTACCGTTTGATGAAATTGTTGATGCAATAGTCTGTTTATCCATCCGATCACTATTGAAATATTGCCTTCCATTCTCATTATTTGTACTATCTGCAAATTGTTTGCCACGTGCGGCATAGTAATTTGTCGATTGAGAATCAATTAGTAGATCCATTTCTACTAGAGAATGTTTTTCCTTGATTCGTGCACTTGCGAACGTTGTTTCATCATACGAACGATAGTGAGGTCGAATAGGATACTGAAACAGGTACGTCGATTGGGGCGTTCGCCGTAGTTCTACATCGACTTCGTAGAGGAGTTCATCGTCGTCATCGATATCCATTGATGTATGACCATTCGTCATGATGAAAACCTAGGTGGTGAGTAAAACGAGAAAAAAACAGAACAGTCTTATTTCAGTAGTAAATCATGAAATCGAACGAACAAGGACAAAGCGTGAATCATTCAGTAAGCCTTTCACTGTGGCGACACATAGGAGAAATTTTATTTGTAGCTAGAAGTGGACCATTAGGAGAGTTTTATGACTCGCAGGTTTGATTCATTCATCATCATTTTCAATTCAACATGCTAGAAGGATTGCCACGTGAATACGATGTTATCGTCGTTGGAACCGGTAAGAAAGTGATTTCCTGGAAAATTGATCAACAAGAAATTTTCACTGTACAGGAATGGTAGAAAGCATTCTCGGAGCGGCCTGCGCACGAATTGGCAAAAGTGTACTTCATATCGATATGTAAGATCGATTTATAGAAGAGAATATGAATTCAAGCCGTAAACATTTGTTTGTAGAAACGATTATTATGGTTCGGAATGGGCATCATTTTCATTGGACGCCCTGATGGAATGGGCGCAGAAACAGGAAACTGCTGAAATAAACATTGATCCACAAGATGAACATGAGAAAATCGTACCGATTAGTAATCCAAAAGATGTTTGCCGTAACGTGCATTTGAAATGGAATATTCCGTAAGAATGATAAGTTAAAGTTTTATCATCAAAATGATTGATTACATAGAGAAACGACAGAGGAAACAGAGACAACGGAGGAGAATGCATCAAAGCCAATGACGCTGGACGTTTTGAAAAAACAATCACGAAAATTTAATATTGACTTAACACCGAAGGTTAGTACGACAGACAGAATATTCATTGATTCATTCGATTCTTTTAGCTGTACTATGCGTCTGGTGGTCTGATTGATCTTCTCGTTCAATCGAATGTAGCGAAATATTGTGAATTTAAACTTGTTTCTCGTCTTCTATTGGAACGTAATGGTCAACTGGAGAATGTAAGATAGAAACAAAGGGCTTGTTCGAAATAAAAATCAACAATCCTTCTTCAGGTTCCAAGTTCTCGTGCAGATATTTTTAATTCCAATGATATAAGTCTAATTGACAAACGTCTATTAATGAAAGTGATTATGAATTGTTCATCCATGTCTATTGATGATCTCAACGAAGGTGAGTTTCTCATCTATTCTATGAAGAATTTTATCAAGTAATTTTAGATCGAAATCTTCCATTCATTGATTATTTGAAAAAACAAAAACTAAACGATAAACTATGCCATTTAATTCTCAATTCAATTTCCATGGTCGATTACACTGCTACGACAAAAGAGGTACTTTTCTATCATGTTCGTTGCCGTTTTGAATGTAGAATTTTCTTTCATGTAGGGTTTTATCAAAGCAAAACGTTATTTAGACTCAATTGGTCGATATGGAAATTCACCATTTCTTTTCCCATTGTATGGAAACGGTGAAATGACTCAAGCGTTTTGTCGTCTATGTGCTGTTTTCGGTGGTATTCAATTCTTACGTTTTCCATTAGCTGCTTTTACTCTGAATTCTTCGACGAATCAATGTACTGGTATTGTTGCAACGACAGGCGAACGATTTCATGTCAAGGATGCAGTTATCTGTAATCATGCATATACTAAGTCCATTTCTGAAAGTCAAAATACCATTCATCGCATTGTTCTATTAACAAATCAGTCGATCAAAGCAAGTGAAAAGGAAGAGGTATGGAAAAAAAGTTCACTCTTCCGTCAAATTCCAATGTATTTTGTATTTGTGTAGATCACATATCTTCGTCTAAGCAGTCCAGATGAAACGGGTATCCATGTGATTGAAGTTGGTTATGGACCAGGATGTGCTCCAGATGGATTGTGTACGTGATATGGGTGTACTTGTTTTAACTTTTTCTTCTTTAGTTCTTCTGTATCTTTTTGCAGAAAAGTCACAAACGCATGCAGGTGATAATACAGATAAAATTATCGAACGTTTATTGGAATTAACAGGAGGTAAAATCATAGAATTGATTTGCGTTTCAAGTATTCTGTTTGTAATAGATCATTTGACTCGAACGAACATTCTTGGACAATTTACATTTGATCAAATCGAAACAATAGGTCTCCCACCGTCATCTATTGACAAACTTTTCCTTACCCACGGACCCGATGGCACCATTGATCATGACGCTGCTGTCATTACAGTTCGTACTTCGTTCCTTTCTAGTCATTCATGTAAGATTTGATTTTCTAGGCGCGCAATCTGTTTCATGAGATATATCCGAATGGTGAAGAATTTTTGGCGCGTGCACCTGATCCAGAGGATATTATTATTGAAGATTCAAGCAATACAGACGACACTTCTACAACTAACACTGAGAACGAAGCTTTGTGAACGATTTGATTGCATTTTTTTGTAATAATAAATTATTCTTTTACCTAGTCACGTAAACATCGGACTGTTCTTTCTTCTATGCTTAGTTTTTTATTCAGAGGTTCTAAAGCGAACGAGTATTTAGGTGAAACACACAATTATTTGTACTCAAAATCATGTCCATGCGTTTTTGATTTTGTTGTATTTAACAAATAGGCGATTAACATGTTTTTGAGATGGCGGATTGACGATTGTCTTCAAAATATCGTTTTTTCGATCATCTCATACGCACGAATTTGTCCTCTCGGTACTAATCATATTCATATAATGTGTGATTATCAGTCCATTTTCGTGATTTCGTTCCAAATATTCGTCGATTACCAGCAACACCTCCATAATATACTATATATTTGATTCATAACGTTGCTATTCATAGAGCAACTATATATACATACAAGTTCGCAGCTCTGGTATGGTCAATCATGGTTTCAATTCTTCGTTTAGCTATCATAGTATTCTTGCCAATCGTTGCTTTTAGTCAGCAGCAAGGTTATTATTGTTACCGAACCGTTTTTTTATTATGTTAATTTGGACTCATTTAGATCTGTTGACGTTGCTCTTTCGGTGTCGCCAGAATGAAGTATATAAGTGTGGCTCAACATGCATTGAAACATGTACGTACAAACCCGAGATATGTTCAATGATATGCAACTATGGCTGTTTTTGTGCCGACGGGTACGTGCGACAATCTGATCCAACTGGCAGTGCTTGTATTAAACGTGAAGAATGCAAAACTGTCAGTGATTCCTTACCAGTTTGCGGACAAAATGAAGAATACTCAACATGTGCTTCAGCATGTCCTGCTACGTGTAGCGATATACGTAATCGTGTACAAGAATCAGCTAAAGCTTGTATTGCATTGTGTAAATCAGGTTGCTCTTGTAAGAAAGGATATTATCGGGACGACAATGGTAAGTGTGTATCACCAGAAGATTGTTGTGGCAAAAATGAAAGATACAAAACTTGTGGTTCATCCTGTGTTGAAACCTGCAGTCAAAAACCATCTATATGTACACAACAATGTGTTGCTGGATGTTTCTGCGGCTGCTCAGATTATGTTCGGCAGAATAATAGTACGAATAGTCCTTGTATTCATCGCGATGATTGCGCAAAAGAATGACCTGACGATCGACTATATTCTTCATTTTAAATTGACAAGAAATAAAAATATCTATTATTCAAACAATACAACATATATTCGTTATGAACATGTTCTCTGAAATATGTCGAAATAAACTAAACATCACTGTGTGGTTTTTGTTGTATAAAATTATCATCTATCTCTTGAGTTTCTGGCGGAGGACAGAACGTATCTTCTATATTATCAATGCGGTCGATCTCCAGTTGTTTCTGTGCACTGATTGTAATGCCAACAAAATTTCTAGAAAATTAAAGAAATAAAATATTGCTGTTTTCAAATGGACTTACTCGATCATTTTAATTTGAAGGATTTCTCGGAAACTAACTTCTAATTTTTCTGATTCGGCTTTGGCAGTAATCAAAAATTCCGTAAAAGCAATGAGACACGAAACAATGATACCAAACAAAAATATGTAGAAAAGACCGGTCACACTAGAAAGGCTCAGTTCACTGAAACGTTTGTCTTTCGACGATAGTGAACATTCCGAACGTTCATACCTAGAAACATTCAAACTTATTCTCCACTTTCATGGCTACGATTAGGAAAAGATGAACACCGTACCACCAGCGTTGTTTCAATTTATCAAGGAATCCTGATTCACGTAGATTAGTCACTATCATATTGATTGCTTCCGTTAAATCTGAACCTAATCGTGTAGCTATGCCGTATCCTTTGGAATCTAAATCAGAACCAACTTTCATTGTATCACATGGGACGCGTTCGTTGACGTATTCATTTTTTGTCGATCTGAAATTGAGGCGTCGTTTTGACAGAAAAGAAAGTCGCTAATCAGATTTGTATTTACTCGATGAAAAAGGCATATTTGCCTTTCGAACTTCGAACTTTAGCTACGCCTTCATCATTTGTGGCGACGAAGACTTCAGCTGAACTTCTCTGCATCGCTTCCCACATTTGTGGGAAAACGGAAACATTGGATTTCTCGAAGAAAGCCGATGTTGTTCCATTTCGTACTGATCCATATTTAATTTCATGCTGTTTAGCTAAACGAAAGAGAAAAGAAAAGTATACAGCACAAATCAATCAAAAAACTCACCTAAATCTTCGACACTTTCGATCGGTGCAACTAATTTTTCGACTGTAAGAAACGCCACTAGATTAGCAGTGTAAGACGAAATGAAAATCAACGAAAAACACCACCATGATGTTGCAGCTATACGGCCAGAAAATGATTTAGGTACAAGATTAATCGATTGCCTCATGAAGGAGGCAAATGAAAAGAATAGTGCGTTTGATATTCCAAATAGATGTACATCTGTTTGTTTGGAATCTTTCTCGTCTGATTTGCGCTGTTGCTTCTTGTCATTATCTGTTGTTGCAATTTGTTGCCGTGGTCGATAACGATGCCGACGACGAACAGATGCCTTGACTGGCGGTGGTGGTGGTGGTGGTATTGCTAATTCACTGGAACGTCTGGAATCCACTGAATCACGTTTTTGCCGATTTAATTCAATTTCAGCTTTATGCTTATCACTAACGCTTTTCGGGTACGTATATGTTCGATATGATGGTTTTCGAACGATACGTCGGCGCCACGATGAATTGACAACCCGTGACGTAAGAAATAAGACCACACTGACAGCAACGTATGCTAATGAAAAGCATAGCCATACTTCCATGGAAACAGGATGCATAAATGAAAAGACGCCTGGTTTCTGTGCATCAGGTTTTCGAATCTAAACAACGAATAACATAGAAAATGCTAATCTCTATCGATAAACCAGAACATACCATAATAGAAATACCCAGGTTCATAAATGGTTTACTGAAATCCACTGCTTCCATGCGTACTTGGCTGATTGTTAACGGCGCAATGGCCATATCAGCGACACGAGCCACTATGTCACCGACCATTCCTTAAAGATTAACAATTGTAAATTGAACAATGATATGCTCATCCTACTCACCATTCCAAATACCTGACGACGCATTTTTACTTCCGAATCCTCCATCTTGAACGATACGAAACTTGCATGTGATGTTCAAGATTGAACAAACTTTTTCGGCTAAATCAACGCAAAATCCTTCCACTTCATGAAAATCAAATACATGACCACGTAAATCTTTCAAATCTGCTTGTGGTTGAGTGTATATCGTATGTAAAACTGTACGTTTACGTAACATTAAAAATGGTTCATCGAATAAACTCGTAATATAATAAGTTCTCGATGATGTTTCTCTCTCTTTCTTCGCTAAATCTTTTCGTTTATCAACCAAACATGGATGATACTCATCATTGGCACCAGTATATCTTCCAATAAGTTCAACGGGTTGTTTTCGTGGTTTTCTTATTGTATACACATTGATATCCGTTAAGTTCGGTTTGAATGTTTTAGACTTCGTTTGCCGTAAACGTAACGTTCGACAATCGATGATGTTCGAATTGAGAATACGAATAATAAAGTTAAATGCATCGTACAACGGACGCGCGCGTGTTTGTGACGATTTGGGTAATTGAGAAAGAAAATATGAATAGGAAAAATATTCGAATGGTTGTGTAAGTTGATCTGTACATGAATTATCTTTCGTACTATCAGCATGGGAAAGTCGATCGGAGTTGGTTTGAGACGAATTCGTCACATTAGATCGTTGACGTTCATTTCGAAAGGTTAATGTTGTTTGATAATATGTCATATGATGTTTAGATTTCGATATCAACGAAGATGGATCATTGAAAGTGGAGATTTCCTGTTCATCGAGTTCACAATCATGCTGGTGATAATCAAAATAGACCAAATGGCCAGTTAGATTTACTTTATGCATCCAACTGCAAACATCAAATCCTGATAGAAGTATGTAATAGTACAAATCACTGGTTAGACCTACAAAACAATCAAATCTTATAATATCTAAGGACAATAAAAATAATTCCCCCCCGCCTCCCATAGTTACTCAGAAAGTAATAAAAAGTATACAAACCCATATGTGAAATTTTCTCGAACATCCTTTCGTAATTAACATACAGTTCCAAATCTAATAGAATGTATTTTGGCGGTTGTTCTCGGTTGTTGGAATGAATATCAAGACTATACAAAAGCGAATACACATCTTCATGTTGTGTTGCTCGAATATCTAACGAGAAATTATTGAAATATTCATCATAATTCGTTAATTGAAGAAATTCATATATGCGATGTTTCGCTTCTTCGTTATCATAAATATAGACAATTTTTCGTATGGAATGATGCTTTAAGTAACTGATCAAGACGCGAAGAATGTTCGGCATGACAAAATAAGTTTGAGGAAATGATCTGTAACAAGAAGAGAAAGAGAGAGAGTTATTTTTACGAAAAATACTGACACTTGAACGAAATACAAACGTTGTAGTTATAATCCCTTGTGAATTCATAATAACGAATGGAATACGATACGTTTGACAAAAACCTTCAATTAATTTTGTTGAAAAATGATCCATATGTGCGAGATAGACATGTGTTTGATTTGCACGCACATCTAATTCATTGAGAAGATTCAACAACGACTTTCTAGGATTGATCCATCGAATTTGTAAAATTAAACCTTGATGATAACAGAAGGTTGTGTTTGGCACAGCTATATTTAGAATTCCTTGGGGAGAATCATTTTCATCAATAACTCCAATTGATATCGTCGATTGTGAAGATGTGATGACGATGAGTGTAGAACAAATCATTAGGACACGAGAGAAAACCATGTTGTCTTCTAATAAAGATCAAGAAAGACTAAATATGAACAAAAACGATGGAGATTTTTCTGTCTTCTTCTTCTTCTTCTTTTTTTCTCTTCAGATCGCGCAGAATAAATTAGATTACACATTCTATTCATATGTTCGCACTTGCCTTTGTATGCCTAGTCGAGATTAAGAATACAAGAGAAACTCTCGAGAGATGGATGAAATGACAAAATCTAATCCGTTTAGTAGCAATGAGAAAAAGAAACTGCTAACTAGTCGACTTGATCATCGCTTCTTCTTTCGACCATCTTGAGATTCTCTTTTTTCGTCTACATGCTTTTCAATAGATTAATAGCTGGTGATCATTGAAACCATTCTCACGAGAAGAAAGACTGTTTGATCAGAGAATATAAACATCAATGACAACCGGATATAACACACTCCAAAGAAGAATTTCCGTTCAATAGACGATAGAAAATTGTTTATAACCTGACAATCATATCTACCAACTGTGCGTCATGAACGATAGATCTTCTCGATCAGCATTGTATAACATTACAGATCCGTATTTGTAGTTCGATTTTATCGTATAATCTATTGCAAAAAGAATTCGTATTATGAGATAGGTTATTGCCGTTTTTGCAGTTTAAATATTTTCGAGCCAATCTAAGAAATGTCTTCGTGTTTTAGTTACCAATTACTATAAAATTGTCAACACCATTCGTAGAAATCTTATCATATCAGTACGCTATGTAATCGATGAACTTTATTCGCTCAGAGTAGTAAATATCTACACTTTCTGCTCATATCATATACTAATGTAGATCGGCTTCTTTTTGCATACCATGAATACAAGGTTATTCATTCAATCCGATTGAATTGAACCCACCATACATCATCATAGTTCGGTTAACTGTTTGGCTTTTGTATATCTTACAAAAAGAAAACGAAAATTACTGGTTGGAGATCGCAGTTCGTTATAATATTGATTCTTTCTTTCTATGTCAAGGATAATGTCGAGTGACTCAAAAGAAAAACAAATTTCATTTATTTTATATCCGAAAATCAAATCACTTTTTTATTTGTTCTGATATCTGATCATCTGGTATGCTCGTCAATATTTGTAACAATGAAGATTAACACTGTATAAGCTTCGATTTTTATTTGCACGCAATTTTTTCTTTCTTTCTTTCTTTCTCGATTTCGTCTATTCGTACGCAATTGTACTGAACATTGATGAACTTTTAAAAGTCGTACGCTACAAATCAACTAACATAACGTGTTGGCATTAATAATTGTATGTTACTGATCTATAGACAGAACTGTTGGAGTTGGTGGCATTGGAAGCAGAACGATATGTTGTTTCTCTCTTTGTATTCTCTTCTATATGTTGTGCTGGTGTCTTTTTCTTAACAGCTTTCCTCGTCTCCTTCTTCTATTTCTTGGAGGGCGGTCTTTTTTTTCTCTGCCCTTATTTGTTTTCTTTCAAGATGTAACCGGTAGAAGTTGGTGTGTGGCAGAGAAATGAGGAAAAGAACGATTCTATATGCGGTAATGGGTACTATTCCATTCACCCGATATGCTTCTCTTTTTTGCTTCCATTTCTATCATCATCATCAACGTCGATTATAGCGAAAGAAAGAATAGATTTAAAGTGACAAGAAGAAATTATAATGTTGAGAAGCATGAGAAAATTAATTCTGATCAGTTCTTTTCCTTGTAGATGGCTTCGGCAAAGGATGGATCGAAAACGAATGTGCCAACTCTATCGCAAGGAGCTCATCGGCAACCAACGATGGGTTTATTCGATGCAATTAATCTTCTATTAGCTTGTATTATTGGCTCAGGTATATTCATTAGTGCTAAAGCCGTCTTAGAATATTCAGGTTCGTACGGTCTTTCGGTTACTGTATGGGTCGGTTGTGGTTTACTTTGTATAATGGTAAATCGAACTAATGATTCATAATGTTTAATCAGAAATTGTAATTATTATCTAGGGAGCGCTATGTTATGCTGAACTCGGTTGTGCATATGTTTCATCAGGCGGTGATTATACGTACCTCCGAGTTGCATTTGGTGATTTTCTTGGTTTTCTTCGTGTTTGGATTGAAGTTGTTCTATCTCGGCCAATGATTGTTGTCTTGAGTGTCCTGACTGCATCGAACTATCTCGTTTATTGGTTTTATCCAACTTGTACGCCACCCGATATTCTGGTGAAATGTTTATCGTCATTTCTTCTACTAATTGTCGGATTTATTAATTTAATATCAGCTGATTGGCCAAATCGACTTCATCAAATTTGCAATTATTTCAAAATTGGTAAGATGATTATCTGTCACATTTCATTGTTTTTTACCTCAATCTATTCCAGCTTCACTATTGATCGTTATTGGCGCTGGATTATATCGAATGATTCTTGGTCGTGTCGAAAATTTCGCCGAACCATTCGAAGGTTCAACATACAGTCAACTACCAAGTGCACTCTATGCCGGCTTGTTTCCCTACGCTGGATGGTAAACAAATCGACATTCGATAATCTGTATTTTCTGAAATTCTTCGTCTACTTAGGAATTATCTGAATAACGCCATCGATGATCTAAAAGATCCAAAACGACTTCTACCACTTTCAATTGTTATATCACTTTTCATATGTATACTCATTTATTTTCTAACGTTCAGTTCGTATTTCACTGCGTTATCGGCATATGATATTTTAATTTCTGACGCAACAGCAGTGACATTTGCTGAACGTGTTTTTCCACCACTTTTATATCTCATACCAATCGGAGTGACAATGTCTTGTGTAGGAGGTACGGAATCACTTTTTCGTTTTCATTTCAATGTTCATTCGACATGAATATATTTAGCTGCATCGGGAAATATTTTCACGGTTGTGCAAATGTTTAATGGTAATACTTCGTTGCTATTTGATTGATAATTCTATTCTAAAATGACACTTTAGTTGCCGGTCGAGATGGTCTTATGCCATTCATATTCTCCATGCGACACTACGAAACTAATGTACCCATGATTGCAATTATGTTCGAAATCATAGTTAGTTTTATTTTCCTTTTCTTCATGTCAAACATCGGAAAGTTAATTATTTGCGTTGGCATGATCAACTGGACATGTAATTATATAATATTCATTATTCACTTCATTAAACTGCTCTTTCGTTTGTAGGTATTTTGTTGGCGGCAGTTGGTTTAATTGTTCTTCGTTATAAACATCCGAATCGAGAACGACCGATCAAGATTCCATTATTAATCCCTATTCTTTTCATCACCGTTCTCGTTGTATTGATCGGTGCAAGTGCTGTGACTGATCTTGAAAATATTAAAACATCGTTAACTCTACTTGGCACTGCTGTACCAGCCTATGTCTTCGGTGTGATGTGGAAAAAGAAACCGACTAGTTTTAATCGAAAATATAATTCCTTCGCGATCACCCTACAACGATTATTTCATGTTATTCATGATGAACACACCGATTAGTGTAGAAACAAAAACAATTGTTTTTCTCGCGGTAGATTTGTTGGATTATTTTTTTCTCTCTTTTCATCACGAATGTCACTTCCCTTCCATGATTTTTCTAAAATAAAACCAAATGAATGGTTTAGAATCGCAATACAGAACCGACAGCACTGCCATCTGAGTTTCTGGCAACCTATGAGGGATCGTCAAGGAAATTTACTTTTCAAATGCTCGGCAATCAGCTGTTCAACTGTTATTGTTTCGTCCGTCTTCAACGATTATTTAGATGTGTTTTTTACGTTATTTCTTTCATGCCGACGTCATATTTGTTTTTCGAATGCGCTTTTTTTCTTGAGTACTTTTGCACTTTTTTGTTTGATTTCGGATGGCGGCAAGCACGTGCGGCTATGAAACGATGTGGAGTGGTAATACGATTCTATACTTCGTAAATCGTGATGGTCTACCACTATCAGAACGATGCAATGAACGCATGTGGTCATTTTGTAAAGAACAATATCCGAAACGTAAATAGATCGAAATTTCGAGAGAATAACTTTAGTTGTCAATGACCACGAACGATTGTTTTCCTAGATGAGGAAGAAATTCAAACGCTGCGCGATAAAGTTATTAACTATCCACCAAAACTATGTCCTGAACCACCGTATCATATCGCTTCGAATTCTCGTCTGAAAGTTCACGAAAAACTACAACAAATACAAAATTACATTTATCGTCTGGAATATAACTATACAGGCATGCAATTCTTCGATCTAAATCCAGCTCGATCCATATATGGACTTATGGACACTACTCGACAGATGTAAGATATATGAATGATATAAAAATGCGATTATCATCACAAAAGCGAAACTGTTTTAGGATGACAGAGTCATTACCAATCAAATGTTTCGAAGCATTTTTAATTGGATTGTATCTAACGACTGGAATCATTGGTCTCGATCGTTTTAACATATCATTTAAAACTCGTTTCAATTCAATTATCTATCGACACGTTGTTCTCGGTGTGAAATATCAACAATTTTACGGTGCATTAGGTATAAGTCGTCGCGAAGATCTAGCTTACAAATCTTTGGACGGCAAATATGAACATTTCTCTGAGCTGATCGACAACTTTATTTGTGCATATAAACGATACGGTCATACAGTTTTACGCGTTCGAATTGGTTTGCCGATTATTCATGATTTGAAATCGTTCTTAACAATCAACTGGAAAGTTTTAACTATTCTACCAAACAAAACCGACAAGAGTGAATACGATCGTGAACTGAACAAAATTGTTCGCATATGGAGACAAGTTGACATGCATATGACGTACAAATCAGTTGTGTCCTTAACATCATTGACTCAACCGACTGGCACTTTGATAACGGCAGCATCACTGCCAAACCGTCTGCAACCGATATCATTTCGAACAAATGGTGAACCTCCAATGACTTGCCGTCGTTCAGTGACAAACAAAACTTCGTTGACCACACGTGATCAAAAATCAGACGACAAAGACCAAACAATTCCCTATGCTATTCGTGTATAATTATACATGTATATTTTCTTATTTTGAATAAAATATAAGCTGCTTCGTGAAACATCTTGAGTGTTTGGATCAAAGAGGCAGAAATCGATCGATAGCGATTTCTGCACATATCTCGATTAAATAATCAAATACATATTTCTTGGAGAAAAACGAAAACATCAACAATATACAATCGAAATATATAGAGTACATCGAAAGCCTGTCTAATACATTGATTCATCGATAAATTTACAGACAAAAGAAGAAGAATAAAGATCGAAAACATAAATATTAATTATAATCCGATACATTTACAATTTTGTCAGTCGGATCTTGCTTACGTGTAGATTAAATTAATAGGAATTGAATGGCTGTGATTGCTGTGCGTACGGGTTGAAATTTCCGGGGTAATTTTGCGGTGGATATGCATATGGATTTGCTGCTGGCGGAGGTGGATAACTCATAGGAGGTGGTGGCGGATTATAGAATGGGGGTGGTTGATTCATCGGCGGTTCTGTTGGGATCATCACCATATCTTCTATTGATATATATTAATGATTCTCAATAAGTAGAAGAATGAATTTTTATTAACATACTTTGTTTTCGACAGCGTCGCGCCCATAATAGAATAACAAGTAGAAGACAAGCTATAATCAATACTATCCATGCAAAATGAGCACTGCTGTTCGAATTGCGACTAAATTAATTCAATAATATTGACATATAGAAAATTTATACACTGGAAAAACTCAGACCTGATGCCTCTACGCGAACAACAATATTGTTTGTTTGGTTCACCACAACACTGCAGTTCATCAGGAGAAAAGCCATAAAGCGGACAACGAAATGTTCCAAAACTAGTTCCATTCATATCCTCATTATTCACACATGTATCGCCAACTGAAAAGAAAAGAGAAACTAAATAGTGCTCAATCAAGCGCGATAGGATAACCTACTTCCATATCCAGGTCTGTAATAATCACTTGGCCGAGCATGATATGAATGAGACATTGATCTCATTAATGTGTATGCTGCAAGGCCACCAGCTGCTCCCGCAGCAAAACTCGCAGCATTGCTTTTAAAACTACTTCCAGATCGACTAGAGACGTTGAAAATAAATCACTCAATGGAAACAAAAACAGCAAACACACTTACGGTTTATTCATCGCATTGATACTATTTCCTCGGCTAAAACTCGATGCTCCGCCAAATGTACCTGGCCCTCTAGAACCTGTTTTAAAGCCACCACTACCGCCACGGCCACCGAATCCTTTCCCTTCCGTCGAGGAAAACAACATTATCACTAAATTCATCAGAGAGTTGACATTATTCATCTATGCTAGAAGATTTGATCCTTACTTAAACAGATCAACGATTGGTATAGGCGATTACAGATCATGCTTACTCTTCTTTTAAAAATCTAAAATAAAAACTAATTTTAGAGCATTCGATGGAGAAGCATTAGAACAAAAAAAAACAAAACGAAATATGCCATTGACGTGTTCCATGCTTGGAAAAGTCTAAGAATCTTACTGAATTACGTTCGACTCAGTAGTCTAGAATGTAAGGCAATTAATTCCCGTGCGTGAACTTGTAGAAAAGATAGTATATGCTCGGAGAAAACAAGTAACTGATCGTTGATGATTTCTCAGTCGAGTATTTCTGTATACTTATTGGTGATATAATTACAGTTACTTTTGAAGACAGAGAAAAACAAGAAAAGATCCAGTATGTGCTGTTTTAGGACACCAATAGTGACGTGAATAGAAAGCTATTCCTTAAAATCAAATGCATTGAATGTAGAAAATATCTTAATTGGTTTACATATTGATTCCATCAGCTTCGAGTAAATATAATTTACATGCCTCTCGACGTACTGCTCCAATATTTGATAATAGATATAGGCATAGATTAGCAAAAACCTTTGTTGTATCTGTATTGACCTTTTTGGATGAATGAAGTCGATGACGTAGTACCTATTGCACGTCTACCATCGGAGTAAAGACGAATAGAATAAGTTATACGATACTTTCAGCAAAAGTAGACGTATCAGATTTCATTAATTTAACTGGAAAGATGAGGAATTGTTGACTTGTCAATAAAATGTTACTTGACAGTAAAATATATTTCAAAAATGCTAACATTCGCCGAAACACAAGTGGATTAACGTTGTAGACAAAACAGAGTCGAGTACGGCAAAAGAAGCATTTGTTCCGTCTGCATTCAAGAATGACTTGTAATAGTTGAGCAAGACATATATTCATTCTACGCGTGAACTGTTACTATCAGCGCTATTACTTCTATTGCGATGACTGGAGAAACGACTGGAAAAATAGAAAAAGAATGCAACAAATAAAAAGACGAGCAACAACCAGACTAACTTGCCGAGAAGAAAAAACAACATAGAACAGAAAGAAAAAGAATCGAATAAGAAAGTACTTCTTTCGCAAGGAATTACGATCTGGCTGATGATACGCATCATAATATTGCCAAGCATTCCTTTCACAAGACCAGATTCGTCCGACACGGATTTACCAGATTTCTCTTTCGCTATACAGATGAACCTGTTAGGTAATCTCGAACTTAGCGAAGAATGAATAGCAAAATAGTTTTGTTCTAAACAGTACGAACTGATCAGGATTCTGTATAGACATACATCCTTTATTAGCATTCAAGGCTCATGATTGCATTGGGAAAAGCACGAATCGAGAACATGGTATTTTTTCAAGTTCTACTACAAAATAAGTAAAAGCAATGTAATTCATAATAGATTTAAAAGAATGTGTCAGTAATATTCAAAAATTTATCATCATACCGTTGAATATTGTATTTTCAATGCTCTCCATCAAATTTACATTAACTCTGTACATAATTATCATAGTTGTTTTCATAAAAGGATAAACCGACTCACTAATCTCTGAAGAGTTAGAAGAATGTATGTAAACACGTTTCTTGAACATAATCGCTAACTATATTATTACCAAACGACGGGTACTTTACATTAAGTACTTCAGATAACTACGTGTACATGTTTTTAATAAATCTTCTTTCATCATTTCGCTTTATATTTGTCATCTCATTAAATTGAAGCACCACAAAATAAGACGCTTTGAACTGACATTGTCTAGTTTATACGTTAATCAATTAGAAAGGATGAAATTGACGAATATAGTTCTTTACAGTGACGAGAATATATTATTATTAGGGAAAATGATTCATAAGCACAACCTTGTGTCTTCAACATCAACTGTCACTTTCAAACTCACATTCAGATAATTCACGTTATGTTCATTAACATCTACCATACACATGTCAAATAAGAATATAAAGAAAGAAAACGAAAAAATCATGTCAAAGCTATCATAGACTGTTGTCAAAATAGCGGATGGAAGATGAAGTTTTTCCGATGAGAAGATTGATTTTTAGCGATAAGATAGAAGCAAACTTGAATTACACAAGTTGATTTTATCTCGATAGTTGTTCTGCTACAGATTTATGATTCTTCTTTCATAAACAAATGGAATCAATACTAAAATAGTTTCATTTAAATATTTCTTTTTACTAGACAATGTAGATATGAATAAGAATTTTGTTCGACTATTATTTTATGAGCAGGAACGTGACACTTTCTGAATCAACGTCAACTCGCAATAAGCAATAGACTGAATTTTTATCTGGCTCTTCGTCAATTACGTTTTCACAAAGAAAAAGATGTTTACACATTGTTGATCCATCACCAGTTACTGTTTGGGGGAAAAAGTACCGAGTATACGTTCATCTGTAATTCATATATTAATCACGTTTTTTATAGAATCTGTATCTGATGAATAATCATTTTGTCACAAAATTTTGTTTCAATTACAACATTATTACACGACAACGATAGTTTTATTAACATCTTCTTTTAAACGAAATGTTCATCCTAACGTTAATAACATCTTTCATACACAATTACCATGTACGTGGATTATATTTTGGCGCATGTATATCCTTGATGATGATACATTTGTACAAAATTTGACCGTTCAAACATTCGATCGTTGGAAATATCCATAGAAACAAGTGGAGTTCTAGTCTATAGTCGACGACAAAACTTTGATCAAATACGATTTTTCCTCGTATACTTAAATAGTGTGACTCCATATAATTTGAGTTAACATTCGAAATAAATTGAAATCTTTTAATTGCAGACTATACAGCTTGGCAGTTTTCAGATGTTCTATTGTTTTAAAATGCTCTGCTGTATATTTCCATTCTATATGTAGAACTTGGAATACCCAGTATCACACTACAACAAATAATACAATAAACGACAAAACTTGGCAAAAGAACAATCATGCAAATATGCAAAGTTATACGTAATATAATTGCTCTAAATCATCACACTATTCATATTTCCACTCATATCCTGACGTCAGTTATTTAGTGCGCTTCAATGATCGTATTTGTCACGCATCACGTTATGAAGTGTTTCAAAAATAAGTTAGTTAATTATAACTGCCATGGTCTTCTATGTCCTTAGCTCGGTGCGACACGATTGAAGCGACCGCAGCATGGATAGTTGAAGTGCCAGATGGAGCTTATAACTTTTTTTAGATGTTCTCGAAATGAAGGTGATGCTAATGTATATAAATAGAACGACGATGTTGAATAGATATATGCTAGAGTTTCAGTTGTATAGTTAATAAATGAATCGATAGCTATTCGATCATTTGTCTTATTTGTCATATAGAATGTAAAAGCATTGTATATCAAATTTATAATCCATGGTAATGTTAACGCTATATAACAAATGATTTGGATAAATAGCATAAACAACGTCTGACGATCTCGTAACGCGACAATTCGATCTCTCGCGTTTGCATCAGTCGATTGTTTAAGAGTTCGACGAAGTTCACGTTTTCTTCGAAGATTCTTTCGTATGATTATACCCGATAAAATCATAGTGGTTATTGGAATAATTCCGCCTGCTATAACAACCAACATGCTATTGTAGATTGCCGAAGCAACAGGATACCATATGCATTGACCATCAATGATATTCAAATAAATGAAATTATGTACAGGCACAATGAACCAAATCATCGCAATAATTATGGTAACACGAATTGCAATACGTGGACTAGCAAATAGTCGCAAACGAACATTGAAAGATGCTGAAGTGCATCGATCGATACAAGCCATAGTCAGGGACCATCGATATAACATTGTACCAGACTGCCCAAAATAGGTGCGCGTTTTGCACAGGGCGTTTATTATATTTAATGGATTTGGATGATCTGTTGAATAGATGCGTGGCACCAGTCCAAAGCACATGGCAATGAGCATTCCTACAGATGCTCCGATGAGATCTATGATGAAGATAAAATAATTTGTAAACATTTTTTGTTTTCAGTCATCTGAAAAACTGTGATGGACTTCCTAAACTTATTTCAACTTGCTTTTACGCAGGACTTACATATGCAACAGGAGTTATTTCGATATTGTCTCTGCGAGAAGAGTAAAATGTTGAGCAAAGATCCAGTAATGCCGAGAGCTAAAGCTGTTGGACATAAATAACGATTCATTTGCGTTTGAACCACTGGGAGAATAGAACTCAAGGACATTGTTGAATTTTTTTAGTTTCTAGAAAACGATAAGGTTAACATCTTTCAGTGCAACAGCAATCGAAAATAAACGTCTTTTTTACGGCACAATTAATCCGAAGTTTGATGACAATGAAATACCGATGCTTGATGTCAGTCTGTGGCATTCGGTTAGATTCAAACTATAGTGCACTTGTCAAGACGGCTTACATTGATCATTCCGCTAAATGCCATATCGCTTTTCTGAACATACTTACGTATGAGTAAAAGTTAATCTACTTGAAGCTATCGGTGCAAATTTAAAAGGATAAGACAGTTTTTCTGTTTTAGAAGCAAAAGAAACATAAAATCTTGATTCCTCAACAAGACAAGCATGTTCAAGAAGATAACAATTAGAAATTACGAACAATTCTTCGAAAGAAAAAAATAATTAAGTGGGATAATCTCGAATACGCAATACTAACCTAACTATTATTTTCAGAAACCAAGGCTCAAGCAATGCATTAGAGAAGTTGTTCCGTTGTAATCCTTTTCATAATCAACTCATCTAAAGTAGATCTTGAGATTCGAGTAGATCCCTCTGAATTGTCTCGACTAACAGAACTTAATACTAAATTACCAGTAAGGTTTTCTCTTCGGAACATCTCAACTGAATACCGTGGGAAAATATTGAAATGTTCACGTGAGAAATTTCTTGAGTGATGCGGATGTCTTTTCTGTAAATGGACTGAGTATAGTTTGAGAATCAAGTGTATGAAATCAAAACACTACAGATTCCGATGTTATCACGCAGAGAATAACAGGGGAAAAAAGTAGATTTATTGTCACGAACAAAAAAGCCATTTACCCATAAGAAAAATACAGAATACGTTAAAATTTTCTTTTAAACTTATCTTCTGTCTCGTCTTATATATACATAAAAATGCTTTCAAAAATAAGCACGTGCATGATCAGGTTAAATTATCATGGCTTAATGAATGAGAAATCACATTCTGCTCTGAAGTGTTGAGTTTAAAACTGGTTTACGAGTGATTTAAACCAGCTTCGCCTCCCCCTCCTCCTCTAGTAAGTGCACTCTATTGGTTGCCATTGATGACAATCGATGAGTTTCATGTTTCGATTATTACATCTTGCGAGATTTCATGAAAAGTTGAATTGACCCGATATCGACTTGTTAATGACCAATTTAAGGTTGCTATCTCGAGCGTTCGATACCGTGGCCCAACAGACGCGATTTTCTCAGCGCAGTTCTGATTGTAAACACATTCAAGTGTCGATTTCAGTGTTGCCTCAGGGATATAACATTTAGGATAGGCCGGAAGTCATTTCACAAGAGAAATTATGATTTATTCAACTTTTGACAACGAAAAGACCAGAAAGAACAGATGTTTTCGTCCCTGAATAAAAAGAACGCTAGTCAAAGATGACATAGAGCGCAAACCAAACGAGAAAAAGATTTAAAAAAAAACAAATTGAATTGAATTAGATTGCAATTAGAGTACGATCCATCAGATTGTTTTTGTTGAAGACGTTGACGAAGATTCAGGTTTTTGAAGAAGGTTGACACCGACTATCCAAATTGTGAATTTCTCTCCGAAATCAACACTTCTTACGCATAATTGTCAATTGCGTAGATTGCACTTGGGAGCAAGAATATCATCTTGTACTTGGCATATATTGTTGCAAAAAATAACCTACAATGCCGTTATAATCTTTGTCAAGTGGTTAAGGATAACGCTGATGGTGGCATAAATGCACAAAATTCGCCCATTCGAATATTTCCCCTTCCGAAATCTCCATAGTATTGACTGAAGATCTGAAATGAACAAAATTATTAATAATTTACAAATGTAAAATAAAAGGCAAAAGTATGTGACCTAACGACATTACCTTTGTTTACAAACGAACAGATTATTGGGAACTCTGATGTCGGAATCCTACGAAAAATGCTCGGACGTCGGAAATGTCTAGAAGCCTGTCGGATTACTCGCCTTACATCTCGGCACATGTTCCAGAAGCTTGTCCTATGTTTATATAAATGATTAACTTCTTCAAAACTGATCAGGAGGAGCATGAAGAAAAAGTATTCTCAGAATCTGGTATTTTCTAAAGTATTAACTATTATAATTAAAGTTTATTTGGAAATCGAATGACCATATGACCACAGCTTTTCTAGTTTGTAGAGATTTTGTTCGAAAACAATTGTTAATCGTTCACAACAATCTATCATGTCAAAGTTGAAATTCATTTGAGAGAAATTTTCGACCTGTAATTCCTTGAAAATTAATTGATTACTCCGGAATGCCACTTTTAAGGACAAGTTGCATCATTGACTTTTATCTAGATTACAGCCTACAGCGTATTTTGTGCATCCAAAGCAAGATTTTTATTTCTAAGTGCGGATATTTTCTTTCTTGCTCAACATATAAACGAATTAAATTGTTTTCACTATGATTTTCTTCTGTGATACTAACGCCATCTATAAAAATATCGCCGATTTTTATAGAAGTTTAGTGTAAAATTTACTTGGAAAAATCATTTTCATTAAAATGAAGTACTGTTCATTGATTTTCATTCATCACTAGTCGGAGCTATCTGACAATCAAAATTGATTCTCACATGTCTGTACGGGCGTGGGTAAATCCACTTAAACAGAACTTTTACTCTATGCGTATTAGACTATTGATAGTCAATGTCAGCGTAAAGCATATATACAAGTATTTTTTTCTAATTTCATACTATTTGAAGGCCATAATCGTACAGTCAACAGATAATATAATTCTGTAGATAAATGAGTAATTGTTATATAATAGTGTTTAGAAGATCAAATTCTGGGAAATCAATCAGCTCTAGCAATGAGCATTAAGATCTTCATGATGAAAACACATTTCAAAGGGATATGTTCGTGATTATGATTACATGATAGATATAAAAGAGTGTCTTTCTTATTTTCGGAATGAACAAGAGTAGTATACCCGATAAAAAGCAGATGGTTTCATTTCATTCTATCCCTCTAGCCTTACTGAATATGTTCATTGGATAACATATGTTCCAATAATTGAAAATCAACTATGATTTACTGTACTGAACAATCGATTGAGTAATCATCAATCGAAGATAGTGTTATTTTTTAATATGACAATCATGATTCAGTTCTGATCTAATCAGATCGTGTATCATAGTCATTCGCATTTATTTGTGTTATTAAAGATAGTTAACTTTCTCTTTTGTCTATTTACAGATGAAGACTGGTGAATAATTTGATTTGTAGAAGAAATGGATAAATCTCTTTCTACTAATGTAAATAAGCATATCAATCAGTAATCAGATTAGAAAATTCCTTATTTCTTCCTACTCTCGAAATCTATTCTCTATTGTTATTCTTGTTTTACATTACTTCTCCGTTTACATAATTCCTTATGTAAATTCTCAATGAGGTAAGATTTCATTGGAAATTAGACACTTTTGTTTTTCATACTCAATCGGAATGAAAAGAAAAATGAATAATTCAATGATATATGTTTACATCTATACTTGAGAGACAAGTCCTCTTGTAGATTTTCTTTTACCTTATGACCAAACGCCTCCATCGGTCATTATCATCATCGTCATCGTCGTCGTCGTCAGATGTATCTTTTCTTGAAAACGATGGATTGAATTTACTTTCGTTATCCAGTCATACTCCATGTCGAACAAAATCTTCCGGTCGATATCAATCGGATATCTATACTGGTTTAATATCTTCCAATCGTCTGTATTCCAATGGGAAACCATTTACTCGTTTAGAGCAATTAATTACTATTCATCATGATGACCAAATTCGTTCCTTATTGTTAATACTGCGCCATTACGCTATGAAACATCAATGGACCAAGATTCTCCTGTATCTCAAATCACTTTTGCAGTCATCATTTTGTCGAGCCTATATGAGACTCTATTGGCAATTGATCTTTCGTTATCTAATCGAACACATTCATGATCAGAATCAAATTGATGGTTTATTTCTATCACAGATTTTCGAAAATCTATTTCACTCACCAACAATCAACCGCACTCAGACATTTTATTCACATCTTTGTTTAAATTTGTTCAACCCTCAAACAATTCATTTGTACCATGATATTGAAACACGCTATAAAAGTCTCCCACCACCATTCTATTCTGGTCGGTGTAAACATGTTTCGTACATATCAAAATATAATCCTAAATTCGAACAATTATTGTTGAACAATCTTCATTTTTTATACGATTACCAGCAATGGTTACAAGACTATGCTCTATTTCAAACCAGTGTTAATCCATTTTGCAATCCAATTAAATTTCTGATCGAAAATGAACGCGATTTAGAATTATGGACATTCAAATTAACAACGAATTTCCAAGAAATTCAATTCCTTTCCAACGAATATTTTGATAATTATGATCTATACCTATTAAAATATCTGTATTTTCTTTATGTAACCGACACAAATGTCGAACAGATTCCATCGATACTTCAGTTGTATATTCAACAGCATGGAACATATATTAATGCATACAAATATCATTACTGGTTCGACTCGAATCTGAGTGTATTGAAGAAATTAATTGAATTAGATCCAAGTTCATCTCCATATGTATTGATGTATTGTCAAGAAATAGGAAATTTTATTGAAATATTCGACCGATTATTTGATTATTTTGATTATGAGAAGAATAAAAATGATTATCAAGTATGGCAATTCTTTCTAACAAATCTCTTGCGATTTGACGTGAATGATCAAGATATTATTCGATGTATACAAGAAAATTGGACGATAAGAAAGTCGATATGGGAAAAGTTTCATTTTCAACACTTCGACAAACTTCATTATGACAAGGCAATGCTTGGCTATATTTTGATTGATAAAGAAGATATGCGATTAAATATACGACAGCGATGGTTAAATGACGAATTCAATGAACATGCAGAGATGTTACATCGATATTTGACAGTGATGGATTAGGACCTAGTTAGTTTTTCTTTGTTGTATTGTTATTAATTGTTGAATATAAACAGAGTATCGATTCTTCTCGGGAATGAAAAGCGAGAAGGGTGAACGAGCAGTTATCTCGTTGAGAATAGCTTCTTGACTAAATGATTACTCATTAGGAAGTGATCGTTATCATGCGCATAAACGTAGACGCACGCTAAGCATCTGCTTTAGTAAATGCATCCGAGTGCCATATAGACTTCGTCATCTCTCTGTGCCCATCGCAATGGTCATTATTCGTCCGAGTAGACTTAATGTATAGAAGAGAACGAGAAAAAAAAACATGCAGTTCATTGTTGACTGGACAGAACAGGCGTGCAAAGAAAGAAGAAGAAGAAGAGAGTTTTTTCCTTCTCTTTTTTTTTCTTTCTCTCTTCTTTTCTCTTCCTTTTGAACCATTGAACGCAACAAAATAGCGGCCACACATACTACTCCGTATTGTTGATCGAGTATATGCTGTGTGTGTATGTTGATTTGCTGTGTGCCTTTTTTTCTCATTCATTTGCAAAAGAATCGATTTCCTGAAAGAATAGTAGAAGTAATAATAATCAGTGCATTCGATAGTTCTCTTTTTATTGTTCGCGTATAGCACATTCTTGAAATCAGATTCAATTTCTTCTTTTATCATTTGATTTTTAGAAGTATGTTTGCAAACGAACAATTCAAAATTGAGAAGAGTAACAGCAACAATAACAACATTAAATAAAAAAGAAAGATGGTAATAAGTAGCGGATCGACAGCAAGCAATGGAGAAAGTCATCAACAAAGTGGACATATGATGACCTTAAATATCCATATTCCACGTGACAGTAGCGTACATTCAATGCAATTCGATGTTCAAATGTTAATTAGTGATATAATACATAATATTCAACAATATTTACCACTGGTTGTCGATCACGATTGTAAGAGATTTGAAACGAAAAGTAGCCAACACAAGTTTCTGTTTTAGTGTCAGAATACGGTCTCATTGTCAATGATATTCAACATTCATCAAGAAGTTATTGGCTTGATCCGACAAAAATATTGAATTATTATCCTTTAAAGAATGGAGTATGCTTGAAAAAGAAATAGCTCTAAGCTTGAAAACAATTCTCTTTCTCCTGTGTAGGATCATGTTGAATACAAAAATCGATATCGTCCACTTAAAATTCGTCTACTCGACGGGACTGTTAAAACAATTCTTATCGATGATTCATTGATTGTCGCTCAATTGATGGTCTATATATGTACAAAATTCGGTATTGCGAATTATGATGAATATTCATTAGTATACGATCTTGAGGCCGATGATGGGAATAATAATACAAAAACGGCAACTCTTCTTCGAGTAATTTGATCGGAATCTTAACTAGTGGAGAGGTGTTTTTTTTTTAAAATATTTGTTTATCAGGATCGATCGTTGCAACGAACGGACAAAAAGATGGAAGAACTACGAAAAAAATGTCATACAGATGATGATAGTGAGTAAAGATTAGGACGAATTCTCTTTTCTTTTGTCATTCATTGTGATCTTTTAGCACTTTGGCTTGATCAATCGAAAAGTCTTCGTCAACAAGATATCGACGAACAATCAACTGTTGTTCTACGACGAAAATACTTCTTCTCCGACACGAATATCGATCAGCGTGATCCAGTTCAATTGAATTTACTTTATGTTCAATGTCGAAACGGTATTGTCGATGGAACACATCCCGTCACATATGATGAAGCAATTCAATTCGCTGGTCTACAGTGTCAAATACAGTTTGGTGATCATGAAGAGTCCAAGCATAAACCAGGGATTATCGAGTAAGGATATGACATATAAAATATGAGCTATGTTCAGTAAGAGAGTTAACTACAATCAACGGAAACATTCTATTCAGAATCATCGACTACCTCGACGTGATTTCTTTCTCTTGTTGCCGACGGCAAAGTGAATTCTTTCTAATGGAATCTTTGTTCGACATTCTAATCAAGTGACTCGATGAAGAAAAAAGAAATAATGCATTTTTTAATCATGACTATTTATAGAAAAATGTCCATTCTCGGCTTTATTTTAGTATACGTGATTTTCTACCGAAAGAATATGCCAAGACGAAAAATGTGGAAAGAAAAATCTTTCTTGTAAGACAAATTTTTTATTGAACTGTATACTTTGATCGATATTTGTGTTTTAAGGAACATAAGAAACATGCTGGCATCTCAGAATTGGATGGTAAAGTCAAGTATACACAATTGTGTCGCTCATTGCGAACATACGGTGTGACATTTTTTCTCGTTAAAGTAATTTCGAATGAAACGACAGTCAGAGGATGTTCAATGTAAATCGAGCCGTTTTAGGAGAAAATGTCGGGCAAGAACAAACTTGTGCCACGCCTTCTTGGCGTAACAAAAGAATCAATCATCCGAGTTGATGAACGAACAAAAGACGTAACACTTCCATTTCGCCATTATTACTCAATTGTTAAACCTTTATCCTTCTAGTTTTTAGAAATCTGGCCGCTAACACATGTCAAACGATGGACAGCATCTCCAAATACGTTCACGTTGGTAAGAAGAACAAAACTCCATGGAAAAGAACTGTTTTTCTTTTACATAGGATTTCGGTGATTATGCAACGGCTTATTACTCGGTACAAACACATGAAGGTCAACAAATTTCTCAATTAATCGCTGGTTACATTGATATCATTTTGAAAAAAGTGAGAAATCAGTTTGCGTCCTCAAGCAAATCTACTATGGAGTGTTTGTAGAGAAAAGATCGCGAGTGTACGACAAGTCGAGACGGAATTGTTGATGAAGAGTCGACAATGATTGAAGATATGATCGCACCAGGAAAGTAAGTGTTTTCCTAGAGATAAGAGTATGAGAAAACATCGGAACGAATTGCATTCATTTCAAGAGCGACTATCATACAACCAAATCGTCCAGCAATCGACTTTGTACGTCAACAAAATGTTTACTCACCGCCAGTAATTCGTGGAACGTTTTCAAGTACGTCGATAAATTGTTTTGAAAATCAACCATACTAGAGTAACAAATGAGAGTCATCGGGATTCTTGCCGATAAAGTGTTTTTTTCTCCTGCATTCAGACAACGACATCTTTCATAACCTGTACAAGTATTTGTTTCCTACGATTGTTAATTGAGTAGAATAGTCGTGACGAATCAGAGATGTAAGATTACCAATATCAGATAATTTATCGGTTGCTGTCAATCAGATTACTTATTAAGGTTTGGCCCTGACTACATCTGATAGCTTTCTTCAGACATAAATTCTATTAGGAATAAGACCTATCATTACCGTTTTGCTCAAAAATTCTTTGATTCCGACTACTAATACCTACTTAACTCTACTAATTTGCAAACAAGATTCTATTAATGAGAGACATTTAGCATCTTGTCTTCTTCTCATTATTTATTTTTGTTAATAACTTATATCGATTTTAGACGGTACCAATTCTTCTGATCAACTTCAACAGCAAGAAGGTTATTTTATCTCACAAATTCATGTAATCGAGTAGTCAATGCTTTTCTTATCTTCAAATTAACCTTGTATTTTTTTTCTTCTCCTGTCAAGGAACACCCAAGAATATCATCGGATAACCATTCGAACCATAACAATACGCTTCTTTGTGCAGCTATAGAACACGCTCGGAATACCGTTCATACAGCTCAATCTCAGCTAGCACGTGAATTGCCATTCGATCAATCACTATCATCCATGATGGTACGATTTTCTCTTTCCGCCCATGAACATTGTCATCCTCATCCTCATCCGTTTTAGAATAATCAAAGTCATTGGTCAACTGAAAATCGTCTCGATGTTAGTCGTCAATTGTTAACTAGTGAATTATCGACGATAAATGCATCGACGGCGCAAATTATTATATTAACATCGGATGTAAATAATCCACATCGTCATCATGATGATTCGAATCATGCACTGAGCACTGCAATCTCAACCATAACCAACAATTTAAATGAATTCTGTAGAGAAATGGATGTTTATCGAAATTTAGTCAACGATAAAACCAATTTACCCGATCAAACACGTCGCTTATGTACAGTGTTCAATGAATTATTAGCCTATATACAAACCTTTGCTGAAAATAATTACGATTCAGCAACTCGACAGAATGTTTTGGTTACCGCAAGTCGTCTAGGTGAAATCAGTCAAGATCTTGTACGTCGTCTAGCCAATGATGTTGATTGTTCTGTCGAATATCAAGAGAAATTATTAACATTAGCCAAATCGGTCGCCAATACGACTGCTCTGTATGTTCTCAAAGCTAAAGATATCGCTACAAATGTTCAAGAACAACAAATAGTCAATGAAATTATTTCAACAGCTACCCAGTGTGCTCTGGCAACATCACAATTAGTTGCATGCACAAAAGTAAGATCTTTTCTGGCATTTGATATCGATTCAGCATTTGACGGGTGTTTCAGGTTGTAGTTGCGACGATTTCCAATCCATTGTGTCAAGAGCAATTGATTGAATCTGCACGCGGTGTCACACGTTCAATTGAGGCTGTTCTTCAGTCTTGTGTACCACCAATGACACCGGAAGTTTTCTTTTCTGATCTGACAGATGCTGGACGAACTGTTCGAAAAACTCTAAATGAATTTCTACTTCATATTAAATTAATAACCGATACAACAGCTGCTAATTCGGATCGGATGTTTTCTCCACTTACGAACGGTACACCGAAATTACTTGCTCGTCGATTGGTTGCCACGGACGATATCGAAGAAATCGACGAGGAAAACGAAGAGAAACATCACGATCAATCTATAGAGCAGATCTTAGTAGCTAGTGATCGGTTGTTTTCGTCGATGGGCGATGCAGCTGAAATGGTTAAACAGGCAAAAATTTTAGCACAAGCAACTGCTCAACTTGTTTCATCATTACGTCAGCAAGCCGAATCGATCGATGACAATACCAATGAACAGAAGCGGTTTCTATCAGCTGCGAAAATGCTTGCCGATGCAACATCCAAAATGGTCGAATCCGCTAAAGGTTGTGCGACCAAACCTCATGACAGTCACCTTCAGTATCAACTGAAGAACTCAGTGGAAGAACTTCGTTCAGCAACGAACCTAGCAATAACGAATAGTAACAAACGAAAAGTATTCAAACGGGTCGAACAATGCGCCAAGTACTGCGCCTCGTGTGCCACTCAATGCATTGCAGCAACATCAGCCCTGGCTATGATGAATAAAAATCAATCGTCACACCAAGAACTTGTTCAACAATGTAAAATCATTGCTGATCTCATCCCAAAAGTTGTACAGAGTATCCGTGCTTCGATGATCAAGCCAGATTCTTACACATTTCAAAATAATCTCATTAATGCATGCGAAGATTTTCTCGACCCAGCTGTTCATCTCACCAACGTTGCTCGAATTGTCGTACCCACCGTACATGATCAGTCACAAGCATTGCATTTGAATAACAGTTCAAAACAATTAACACAAGCATTAAATGATCTAAGAGTCTATGTTAATCGAGTACGATTGTCCGGTTTGAATAATACATCGCTTTACGAAAATGTATTCTAGGCACAAGAATTAAACAACTCAATTGGAATAGACAATGAATCGATTCTTGAACTAAGCGAATTACTCGAAAGAGAGTTGAATGATATCAAACGGCAAGCAAAAAATGGAGACTTACAAGTACGACCCAATGAAACGGTTTGTATATCTACAAAAGATCTTCTATCGTGCTCATTTCATTCTTGTCCATTCTATTGGCTAGATTGATACGTGTTCATCACAATATGCATCTGTATGCAAACAATTTAATAGCATCATTGGTCGATTGCTTAACGCAGTGCATCATGTAAAGCTCAAGTTGATATTCGTTTCTTATTGAAAACATATTCTTGGTTTTTCTTTCAGAACGATGAAAGGAGTGTCGACGACTGTACACAAGACATGCTTCAACTTTTGCGTCGATTTATCAATTCAACGCGTGATTTAATTGCAACAATCACCGATCATCAAATGCAAGATTCGACTATTGAACGTTCGCGCGACGTGTTAAAACATACGATTCAACTTCTTCTTGAAGCTCAACGTGCTCTTCGCACACCACATGAGCAAAATAAACTACCTACCATCGATCATGAACTTTCAACTGCTGTCAATGCTTGTCTATCAAACATGCCATCGCAACGTTATCTGAACGAAGTCATTAAACAAATGTCGGAATATGTCTATACGTTAGCTGGACCGTTTGATCGTAAAACAGGTCCACTGTCTATTTCCTCCGAAAATATCGATCGTGCTGCTGCTGATCTCAACCAAGCAACTACCGATCTGGTTGTTAGTACACATAAAGGTGTAACGAATGATCTAGCCAAAACATCGGCACGATTCAGTCGAGCATTCGGAGATTTCATTGATAATGGTATACATTATGTAAATCATCAACATGAAGATGATAAACGATCGCGTCTAATCGTATCACTCAAAAATGTTCATACATCGTCGAATCAATTATTGGAACGAGCAAAATCAGTTTCTCTCGGACCGTCAGTAGTAGAACAAGATATGAAATATCAATTAGCAAATGCTGCCA